CGGTGTAGTCCACGCACATGCGGAAGGTAGGGGGCTTCTGTGCGAGGACTACATTTGCTAGCCATGAGGGGTATTTCACCTCCTTGATGTGCTTGATTGAGAGGAGCATGGCGACCTCCTTCTTCACGAATTCCCTCCTCTCGGCGGAGAGGGGTCTCCTTCGTTGTTGTACTGCTTTTGCCGAAGGGTCCACCGAGAGGCGGTGGGTGATGACCCTTCGGCTGATTCCCGGCATGTCCTCCGGCCCCCATGCAAAGACAGTGGAGTAGGCGCGGAGGGCGTCGGTGATACCGGTCTTCAAATCTTCAGGGAGCTGGGCTCCAATCTTCACGACTCTCTCCGGCTGGGCCGGATCGAGCGCAAAGTCTTCTACGTCCTCGGCCGGTTCAGCCCTCGGCCTTTTTTCCTCTTGGTCGACTGTTCCGGTGATGGTGTCAACACGGAATTCCGTCTTGCTTACCTTCTTAGTGACCTGAAGATAGCAGGCGCGGGCAATTTTCTGGTTCCCTCGGGAGTAGCCAATGCCCCCCTCGACGGGGAACTTGAGGCAGAGGTGCCTCATGGAGATGATGGCTTCGAGGTCCTTGAGGGCTGGCCGGCCGAGGATGATGTTGTGGGCGCAGTCAATGTTGACGACGAACTCCACCTCGAGCTGGGCTCTATGGAGCCCGTCACCGAAGATCACCGGGAGGGTTATTACCCCCTCGGAATCAATAGTGTCGCCGGTGAAGTCGGCAAGAGGGGTCTTAATGGGCCGAAGGGACCCCCTCTCCTGATGCAGCTCTCTGAAGGTGCTGAGGTACATTACATTGACGGAGCTGCCCGTGTCAATGTAAGTTCGGTGAATGATGGTGTCGTTTATCTCCGTCCGAATCACCAAGGCATCCCTGTGAGGAGAAGAAGTAGGAGGGAGATCTGCGTTGGTAAAGGTGATGGGTTCCTCCCTCAGTCGCTTTACCGGGGGCATATGAGTGACTTCCCCCACGTAAAGCAATTGAGCCCACTTCTTTCGTTGGCTGGTGGAATCGCCCCTTGTATTGCCACCGGTGATCATGAGGATGTGGCGTTTCTTCTCCTGGTAGTGGGGGTACTCCTCCTCCTCTTCTTCCAAGTTTCCGATCTCCCTCTTCTTGCCGAGGGGGATGGTGTTCGGATTTACCCAGGCATTTACCTTCGTATGGTGCCCTCGGGGAGGTCCCTGATGAGAAGGTCCCTCCTGCCGAGGGCTCTGGACAAACTGGGGCAGGTGCCCCGCCTGTATTAATCTCTCGATGGTCGTCTTCAGCTGATGGCAGTCATCGGTCCTGTGCCCCTGGTGCCGATGGAAGCGACAGTAGGGGAACTAAGGGTTGATAGCGTGTACCTCCGGGGGTGCGCGAGAGTCGCGCTCAACGAGGCCCCTCTCCTCGGTAAAATCGAGGATGATGCTGACGGGGTGCGTCAATGGTGTCCGAGGGCGGTCCAGGAGAATGGGCTGGGCCCAAGTCTTAGGGTTGCTCTTATAACCTCCCCCGGGCTTGGCTTGGCCTTGCCGAGGGCGGTCGTCAGAGGGTCCCGAAGTCTTGGGGTGGTTTGGAGGAGCCCCCGACCCTCGGTTATGCTTGTTGTCAGCCCTCGGGGGCTGCTGGTACGGATGCTGGTGATACTTCTCCACCTCCTCGGCCTCAGCATATCGGTCCCCCCGCTATAAAGCCCTTATGTAGTCGCGGGGGGGTTCAATGATGAGGCTCCTTGAAAAGTTACCGGTGCGGAGGACGGTTTGTAGGAGGGCCAGGAGGGTCCCGTCATAAGCACCGTCGACCTTGTCGGCCTCCGTCCTCCAGCGCTCCAGGAAATCCCGAAGGGTCTCATCCTTCTTCTGGCGTATTGTTAGGAGGTGGGAGAAGTGCTTCCTTGTGCGGCGCCTCCCGGCGAATTGTGTCAAGAATCGTTGGGCGAGTTCTTGCCATGAATCAATACAGCCCTCGGGCAGCCTGTTGAACCATTCGTATGCCGGCCCCTCTAAGGTGGAGAGGAACCAACGACACAAATATTCGTCTGACGCCCCCACCATCATCATGTTGTTCTGGTATTTGCTGTAGTGTTCCTGGGGGTCCGTTTTTCCGTTGTAGGGCTGTATATGTTGCCCTCGGTATTTTTCCGGGATCCGGGCCGCCAATACCCTTGGGGTAAATGGCGTCCGAGTCCGGAGCTGGATAACGGGTTCCCCGGAGCCCTCGGCCACCTTCTTTTGTAACTCCTCCATCTTGGCCATCATGGCCTCGTATTTGAGATCTGAATGAGGGGTGGAGGTGGTGGCGTGAGCTTTGTTGGACTCCATCTTGTCAAGCCGGCGTTGGAGGGCCGCAATAATCTCGTCTCGGGGGTCCTTCGGGAGGGTCTCCGCCCCCTGCGAACGAACCCGGGCCGAGTGGGTCTGGTTGATTTGGTGCCGGGCATCATCGGCATGAAGGGGTGCCTTGCCTTTGCCCCGAGGGGGACGCTCCTCGTCTGCCCTCGATACAGATCCCCCGCTTTCCTGGGCCTTTGGAGTGCTTTCCCCCCGATGCGGTCTTGGACCCCTCGGCGGTCTGGCCCTCCTCCGAGCCGGTTGAGGGCGGAAGTACGGGGCCTTTCCCTGTTGTCATTATGGCGGTCTCGGGACTGAACTTCCTGGGAGGACGTTTCTTGGGCCACCGCCCCTTCGTCGTTTCTCACCCGAGGGGTGGGATTTCCGAAGGGGTGTGGCAGAGGGGGAAGTATGATATTTTCCCCGATCTGAGGGTGAGCTGGAGCCAGGGTGCCGAAGGCACCTGGGTTCTGGGTGAGCGTCTGGATGAAGGCGGAGAGAGCCGATTGCACGTCGATGGTGAGAACCGGAGGACTGACTTGGTCATCGCTCCGGTTTTTCTTCTTGGCCTCGATGCCGAGGCGGGCATCGGGGGCATTTTGTTGGATCTGAAGGCGTAGGTCGACAGCCGCCTGTTCCAGCCCAGCGATGACACCGCCCTCGGGAGCCCTGTGAGAGGCTTCGGGGGCGTTGACGTCGCCGAGGGCCAGGTTCTTGTCTTCTACGTTTTTTGAGTTGGCACGTGTTGTCCTCACCATTTTGATAGAGGGCTAGTGTTTTGTGTTTGGTCGAGGGGGGGGGGGGGGGGTTTCTTACTCGATTGTTCAACCTCTCAACGAGAGCACCAAATGATGGATAGTCTACCCGGGGGTATATATCCGAAGGGTTATTACGGGGAATAACTTAGAGAGAAGTCAGAGCAAGTAAATAAAAGTAGAGAGAGAGTGTATTCAGTATGAATGCCGTTTTCAGCGTGGTTACAAATGAGGAAATGGGGTGCTATTTATAGTAGCAATAAATGCCGGGCAGGGACACGTGTCAAGCGCTCATTGGCCGAGGGGTCACCTCAACTGGTTGGCGCTGGCAGCCGCATGTGGCCGCATTTAATGCGGTTGTTGGACGGGACGTCTGTGCGGGGTACGGTGATCTGTACGCATGTGAGGCGGATATCTTGTCGAGTGAGATGCCTTCGGCTATAGAGCAGTAGCCGAGGGCTCTTCCACCCGATGACACCCCTGGTGCCGAGGGCTCACAGTGCCGAGGGCTGCCGTTTTCTCCCAGTTTCTTAGTTTGTTTGAGAAACCCGTTCTGTGAGAATTTGGAGCCTTCGGCCAGGGGGCCGAAGGCACCCCTGGCGCGTAGTGCGGACTGGCTGGTACTCTGGGCGCTGTGATTTGGGCCTGTTGGGCCTTCTGGGTCTGTTGGGCCTTCGCTGGAGTAGTAGGAGTCTGTGGGCCGGGGGTTCCCGGGCCATATACTCCATCAAGTCTGATCTGATCTAAAACTTTCTGATATGAATCTTTCTGATCTGATCTGAATCTTTCTAATCTGATCCGATTTGAATATTTCTATAATTATAATTATAATAATTACAATCATAATTATAATTTAAAAATAATTAGAATTACAATAATTATTATAAAAATATATTTATATTTATAATAATAAATGTAATTAAAATTCAAATTATAATAATTATACCTATTAAAATAATTATAATTATATCTATAACTATAATTGTAATTATATTTTTAATTATAATTATTTCTATAATTATAATTGTACTTATAAATATAATATGTATTTCTATAATTATAGTTATAATTGTAATTTTAATTGTAATTATAATTATAAATATAATTATAAATACTAAGTATAATAATAATAATAATGTACTCTATAGTAACAATAATGATAATAATAATTGTAATTGTAATTGTAATTATAATTATAATTGTAATTATAATTAAAATTAGAGTTATAATTATAATTATAATTATATATACTAAGTACAATAATAATAATAATAATAATAATAAAAATAATTGTTGGGGAATGTTTTTCCGGCCTGTTACTGTTCAGGAGCTCAAGGCATCATCCCGGTATGGAGCCCAACCGACGAGACCCATTTAGGCCTACTCGGCCCATTTCGGCCCATTAAGGCCAATTCTGGCCCATTAGGCTAGAAAGCCCCCTTCCCCCTTCTTCTATAAATAAGAAGCAAAGCTTCCATGTAAAAGGATCTTTTTCTCTTCTCTCCTGCTATTCCTTCTTCTTAATTTCTAGGTTAGATAAGCTCATCAACTTTCATTAATGAAAAAGAACGGACTTGAACGTTAGCCTAAAAAGTCCCGTGGTTTTTTCCCTTTCCGGGTTTCCACGTAAAAACAGAACATTTCATACATATTATGAGGCTGTTTGGCAACTCTCATTTTCGGTTTATCAGGCTTATCAGCCAACTTTTTTACCAAACACGTAAATTTTGTTTTCACGCACTGAATTGTGTAATAAGCCGAAAAAGTAAGATTGGAGTTACTTTTCTGGCTGTATTGGCTGAAGTTACTGTAGATGACCATTTTAGCTATTTTTACATATATTTTTTTCTTTATTTTATTAATAAAATATATTTTAAAAATATTTTTTTCTTGTATCAGCAGAATCAGGCAATGCAGCCACTTCAGCCAGAACTTTATAAATTTCAGCATAATCAGCCAGAACAGCCGATTTTCGTGCTACCAAACGGGCTCTATATCTATATCTATTAGTTTATGTTGGATTTAAACTCAACATTGCCGCCATCTATGGGAAAAGATCAAAAACATTCATGTGTTCTTGGTTGGGTTCTGAAAATATCGTGTTCTTGAATCTGCAAATTATTGGAGACGAAGAAGCCAACGGCTTCTTCAGAGCAACAAGCCGAGCGCGGGTCTCCTCCAACAGCGACCACCCGTAGGCCCATGCGCTTCGCAACACCGCCTTGTTCATTATGGATAACGTTAGCCACACCAAGTGGGCCCGGAGCAACAGAAACTGTCTTTTCGCAATAAAAGGTACCACTTAACGCGGCTAGTGGTTGAGGTGATGAGTGGGACCATGAAGTGACGGCTATAGTGCTAAGCCTTGTGACCCGAACGGGAGAGCATCGCATCCGGCAGTCGGCCCCCGACTACCTATTGAGCGAGGGGAAGAGATTAACCCCGCTTCAGCATTCCGGCCAACCCGGACGAGATTACCTGGCCGGTGGGAGTAAGGCTCGTCGTATGGGTGTGTCATGTGTGTCCCTGGGTGTGAGTGATCCGTTCCGAACGATATAAAAGATCGGGTCCTGGAAACCACCCCAAGGTGGGATGACTGACTTAATCACTTAGAGTTTTGGAGCGTTGACCAGCAACCTTGGCGTCCAGCCAGGTCCAGTAAAAATAGACCAGCACTAAACTCCCAGCGTACCAATGGGTTCCCAAGCAGCAACATCATGTACCGAACGGGACGCCCTAGAATCCGTCACCCTGTGCGCTGACTAGAGTACTGGAGCCTTCTCTCTTGGTGCCAACCTGGTCCGAGTATCCGATGAGGGAGCCCAACTCACCGCCCGACATGCATCCCCTGCCTAGCACCGGCAATCCAGTATACTAGACCAACCGGCCGTTCTATCGATTTGCAATCACGATTGATCCAGCACCCATATTGATCCACCACACTTGCCCGACATCATTGATCTATGTATGAATACTCCTGAGGCCACACATCATTCTCGCAGAAGTCACATAGGGGATGTAAGTGTCTTGATCGAGAGTATGCATGCACGGGGAGGCCCTCTCCATGAACGAAGATCTGGACCGTGCAAATACAGGAAGACTGCCGATTCGACTTTTCAGCTGAACTAACGGCCGCCCGGATGGCCGGCTCAGGCCTCCTCCGGGCATTATCACTGATCGGGACAAGGGCGGCGGCATAGCTACCCGACGTCATCAGCCTCTCTCGGCCAGTCGCCCCCAGCTCCTTTCCGTCCGACATCTCTTTATTCGATAAGTTGTAACTTGCTGAACGACATTCAAGACCGACAGTCTGCACCAGGGCACATGATTAACTGGCCATTGTTGCCGGATTAACCATCCTTGGAGACCACCTCGAGTATGGGTTTCCACGCAGGCTCCCGAACGGGACACGTTCCACTCCGTACGGGATAATTTTGGGGGTAATTCCTTGGGTTAAGCCCCTCGATCGAGATAAGCATTTTTATATGGGTTCCCAACTATTGGGCTACAGCTGGAGAATGGAGAAGCAATTGGGCGGATTTATAAGGTGGTGGGATTTTCAATTTGTAAAGGTTACAAGCGACTGGCATAGGGCCTACATTATTGATTACTGGGTCAAACCACCTTCGCCAATTACAAATCTCCGGGCCAACAACTTGGCCTGCACCTAAAATTCGGCCTATTCCAGCTAAGTAACGCCATTCATTTGCTTGATTTAATCTAAGCAGTGCTATTGTTATTATTATTTGATCACTATATCTAGCAGGGATCAAAGTATCTCGAGTTAAATAATGTCGAGTGAATCTCGGATGATTAAGTGCAACGTCATTTTTAAATTAAATGATTGATATTACGGGGGCCGTTGGCCTACCCCGATCGGCCTTAATTAGCGGTCAGAGCGTCTTTGAAGGGCGTTATCCTGATGACGCGCATTTTAATTTAAAAATCGTACATGGTTTCGCACGACACCAAGTGACCGAACGACAACCATGCACAGTATGGGGTGAAGTACGTACTTTGATTAGTTAGGTCTATTTTGAGAGGCGTCCGCCAAACCACTAGGTGGTTCTGATAGCACATGGGCAGTGCGAAAAATGAATCTAGGTCGAGGGTTATTGTACTACTTCGGCAGGTAGTCATGATGATGGAGTATATAGGGCTAGGCCCCAGGACCCACATACTCAGAAGAACAGAAAGTACAGGCCACTACGCGGTGCCCTCATCGGCCAAAGGACCCTCGTCGGCCAGAGAGGGACCGACCCAGAATATGATCCTGAAGCCAGTGAACCAGGGTGTCCTCATCGGTCGTGCCCTCATCGGCCGTGCCCTCGTCGGCCAGACCCTCGTCGGCCATGGAAGTCTCACAGAACTAGATTTTACACTTATTCATTTATATATCCATCATTTACTTTGTATTCGGCCCAATAGCGGTCCAGTTGTAAATGGGCCTCACAAGCCCAAGGCTCGGGAGCCCAGCCCGTATTTTTCCTATAAATACTTCCTCTAGAGGAAGTTATAGGGGTTACAAAATCATTCTATTGAAGCATTTACTTGCACTTCTCTATCTAGCTCTCACCTCTCTCTAGATATATACTCTCTCACATGAATTAAAGAGAAAAAATGTTATACATGTAAATTGTATGTATATATGTGTTGTTCGGCCATACAACCGTATTACTATGCTTATTGTGCAGTGGAATACGTTCGATATGTTTGAGCTTGGAGATCCCTGATGTTTGGCATGAAGCGCGAAGACGTTCATGACCGGAAAATAAAAAAAAAGAAATCACAATCAAGCGATATGCTTGAGCGAAGATCAATGACATTTGACGATGGCAATGTAAGGACCATGGCAATGACCATGGCAACGTAAGGATCATCTTATGCAACACGATCGGTCCCTCAGCACCATCGTGTCTAGTTCATATTCGACGATGGCAATGTAAGGACCATGGCAATGATCATGACAACGTAAGCACCATTTTATGCAGCACGATGGGCCCCTCAGCGCCATCGTTTCTAGTTCGTATTCGACGATGGCAATGTAAGGACCATGGCAATGACCATGGCAACGTAAGCACCATCTTATGCAGCACGATTTTCCCTCAGCGCCATCGTGTCTAGTTCGTATTCGACGATGGCTATGTAAGGATCATGGCAACGTAAGCACCATCTTATGCAGCACGATCGGCCCCTCAGCGCCATCGTGTCTAATTCGTATTCAACGATGGCTATGTAAGGACCATGGCAATGACCGTGGCAATGTAAGCACCATCTTATGCAGCACGATCGGCCCCTCAGCGCCATCGTGTCTAGTTCGTATTCGATGATGGCTATGTAAGGACCATGGCAATGACCATGGCAACGTAAACACCATCTTATGCAGCACGATCCGCCCCTCAGCGCCATCAAGTCTAGTTCGTATTCGACGATGGCAATGTAAGGACCATGACAATGACCATGGCGATGTAAGCACCATCTTATGCAGCATGATCTTCCCCTCAGCGCCATCGTGTCTAGTTCGTATTCGATGATGGCAATGCAAGGACCATGGAAATGACCATGGCAACATAAGCACCATCTTATGCAGCACAATCGGCCCCTCAGCGCTATCGTGTCTAGTTCATATTCGACGATGGCTATGTAAGGACCATGACAATGACCATGGCAACGTAAACACCATCTTATGCAGCACGATCGGTCCCTCAGCGCCATCGTGTCTAGTTCGTTTTCGACGATGGCAATGTAAGGACCATGGCAATGACCATGGCAACGTATTTTCAAATTACAGCAAGGACCATCTTAGTTTGAAGATGGACGGCAATTTGAAGATGATGTTGGACCTGGAGCATGGACGAGCCGAGCGGACGTCGGGTCAAACCCAGGCGAATCGAACGGGGGATCGAAGCTATGGTTAAAAGCCTCACCTCGACCGCAAGTGTAAGTGAATCGTTCGGCCATGGCCGAACGAGGATCCTCACTTCGGTCTGGAGGAGAGCCATCGTCTTAGCTAGGTTTGACCTTGCGTTCCGGATGACCGAATGAGGGTTAAAACCAGTTTGAAGATAAAATGAAAGCCTCATCTAGAATGTGGTCTGGAGGAGAGCCATCATTTTATCTAGGTTCGACCTTGCGTTCTGAATGACCGAACGAGGGTTTCAAATCAATTTGAAGATGATGTTCGACCAGGAGCATGGACGAGACGAGCGGACGTCAGGTCAAACCTAGGCGGATCGAACGGGGGATCGAAGCTATGGTTAAAAGCCTCACCTCGACCGCAAGTGTAAGTGAATCATTCAGCCATGGCCGAACGAGGATCCTCACTTCGGTCTGGAGGAGAGCCATCGTCTTAGCTAGGTTTGACCTTGCGTTCCGGATGACCGAACGAGGGTTCAAACCAGTTTGAAGATGATGTTAAACCAAGAGCATGGACGAACCGAGCGGACGTCGAGTCAAACCTAGGCGGATCAAACGGGGGATCGAAGTTATGGTTGATCGGGGGACTTGTTCGTATTCGATGATGGCAATGTAAGCACCATGGCAATGACCATGGCAACGTAAGTACCATCTTATGCAGCACGATCGGCCCCTCAGCGCCATCGTGTCTAGTTCGTATTTGACGATGGCAATCTAAGGAACACTGCAATGACCATGGCAACGTAAGCATCATCTTACGCAGCACGATCAGCCCCTCAGCGCCATCGTGTCTAGTTCGTATTCGATGATGGCAATGTAAGGACCATGGCAATGACCATGGCAACGTAAGCACCATCTTATGCAGCACGATCGGCCCCTCAGCGTCATCGTATCTAGTTCGTATTCGACAATGGCTATGTAAGGACCATGGCAATGACCATGGCAACGTAAGCACCATCTTATGCAGCATGATCGGTCCCTCAGCACCATTGTGTCTCGTTCGTTTTCGACGATGGCAATGTAAGGACCATGGCTATGACCTTGGCAACATAAGTCCATATCACAGCAAGGACCATCTTATGCTGCACGATCGGCCCCTCAGCGCCATCATGTCTAGTTCTCGTTCGACGATGGCAATGTAAGGACCATGGCAATGACCATGGAAATGTAAGGACCATCTTATGCAGCACGATCAGCCTCTCAACGCCATCGTGTCTAGTTCTCGTGGTCGGGCTCGTCGATCTCTAATCTGGGATGGCGACCGCCGCTTTATGCAGCACGAACGACTGGCTCTTCAGCGCTGTCTTGCCTTCTTTTTGATCGGGCTCGTCGATCCTTGATCTAGGATGGCGACCGCCTCTTTATGCAGCACGAAAGACTGGCTCTTCAGCACCGTCGTGCCTTCTTTTTGATCGGGCTCGTCGATCCTTAATCTAGGATGGCGACCGCCACTTTTTGCAGGGCGAACCGCCGTCTCTTCAGCGCTGTCGTGCCTAGTGTAGGGACTGCACCTCATCTATCACTTATGAATGCCTTGCGTCCAATACTATTCAAAGACACTGGTCCAGGGAAGGCATGGAAAGACGTGAGCAAGAGTATACTTTCTCGAGTAGATTCACAGGCTCACTACTCAAGAATCTGGGGGACTTGTGTTGGGGAATGTTATTCTGGCCTGTTACTGTTCAGGGGCCCAAGGCATTATCCCGGTGTGGAGCCCAACCGGCGTGGCCCATTTAGGCCTACTCGGCCCATTAAGGCCAATTCCGGCCCATTAGGCTAGAAAGCCCCCTTCCCCTTCTTCTATAAATAGGAAACAAAGCTTCCATGTAAAATGATCTTTTTCTCTTCTCTCCTGCTATTCCTTCTTGTTAATGTCTAGGTTAGATAAGCTCATCAACTTTCATTAATGGAGGTTCCCAAGATTTGTATATGTATTTTGGTGAGGAGAGTTAATGAGAAAGAGCGGGCTTGGACGTTAGCCTAAAAAGTCCCGTGGTTTTCTCACTTTCCGGATTTCCACGTAAAAACAGAACATTTCATACATATTATATCTATATCTATTAGTTTATGTTGGACTTAAACTCAACAATAATTACTATTATTATTAAAATCATTAGAATAGTAAAAGTGATAAATCATGTTTGAACTTTTATGATCTGAATGTTTTTTATCCGATCTGAATATTTCTGATCTGATCTGAATATTTTTTATCTGATCTGAATGTTTCTGATCTGGTCTGATCTGAATTTTTCTGATCTGATCTGAATAAAAAATGAATAAGCAATAAGTAATAAGAATAAGACGAGCATAACAGCTTCTTGATGTTCATAATGATATTTGAGTAATTTATGAACTACATGTTAATGATGATATGTGAGTAACCTATAAATTAGATGTTCATAATGATAATTGTGTAATCTATGAACTACATGTTCATGATTATTATATGTGAGGAATCTATGAAGCATATGTTCATAAATCATAATGACAATTGGAGTAATCTATGGATCCTTAGTTCTTAATGAATTTTTGAGTAAACTATGAACCACAATTTCATAATGATATTCAGAGTAATCCATGGACAACATGTTCATAATGATAGGACCGAAATGACAAACAACCCAAGTTTTCACCTAACTTGGATAATATTTTTGAATTGAAGAATAGACGAGTTTCGAGTCTCCACGTTACTTTTAAAACTTTTTTGTAATACACGGACAACCAGTTTTTTTGCCAAAAGGAGGGTAGTCTTCAATACTTGGGAAACTTATTTCCCAAATGAGGCTAGTTTTTTCCATATCACCCAATTCCCGCCACATCACCCACTCCACATCATTCACCGTCATTCCACGTTATGAGTCATATGGGTATTTTTTTAAAACATAGAAAAAATCCGAAGCTCTCAGGAATTGAACTCACCACCAAAATGATGCACTTGCATCTTGCAACCCACTAGACTACATTGACTTGTTAGTACAATCACACATTTGCAAACATTTAACATCTATATATTTTTAATACAACGTATTTTGATACATGCAATTATTCAAAAAATTTAAAATTACTCTACATTAATTAAATAAAATAAGAAACAAATAAAATAAAACAGATGGACTAATTCATCCCAAATTTAATAAAAAATCTTATATTGCTAATGCAAAAACATGTGAAAATATAAATTTCACGTACAAAAATTAAATAACTTAATATAGGTTCAAATCCACCTCAGACTTGTAAAATACTTAAATTATGATTGTAAAAAAACTTGTATTTTAGTGTTGGATTTTTTAATTTTTGTATATGAAATATATATTTTTGCATTCTTTTGCATCAGTAATATAAGATTTTTTATTAAATTTGGGATGAATTAGTCCAGCTGTTCTCATTTATTTCTTTCTTATTTTATTTAATTAATGTAGAGCAATTTTAATTTTTTTGAATTGCATATATCAAAATACGTTGTATTAAAAATACATATGTTAAATGTTTGTAAATGTGTGATAATACTAACAAGTTAATGTAGTCTAGTGGGTTGCAAGATGCAAGTGCATCATTTTGCAATTTTTTTTTTATATTTTAAAGAATATACATATGGCTGATGACGTGGAATGACGGATGATAGTGAATGATGTGGAGTGGGTGACGTGGTGGAAATTGGATGACGTGGAAAACTACCGTCATTTGGTAAAAAACTATGATAGACAACGGGAGTTTTCATCTAATAGGACCGAAATTTCAAAAGTCTCAATGATAGAAAACTTTTTTGATGAACTAAATTAAGACGGAGTAAAATTGATCCTTTCAAATTTATAAAACCCTGAATCCCAGACTTGTGTATCTCCTGCAATTAGCACTGAAATCAGCAGACAGCAGCGCTGTGTTTCTCCAGCAAGATGAAGTCACTTTCCGAACTCAACGACGAAATTGTTCGTAGCATGACAGTTGGAGCGGTGTTCACTGATTTTGTGAGTACAGTGCATTGACCTCGCGGGTTTTCATCCTGTACCATGTCATTTTTGCGTTTTCAGAACTATAAAACTTTGATGTTCAGAAATTCACTTCCTACTCTGATTGAGAGACAATTAGCTTTTTGTTGTGTTAATTTTCATGCATTTCGATTGTTGGATCCTAATTTCACCTCCTTTGCGTAGGGCGGAAAGATAAGTTCACTGGATTTTCATCGGACTGCTGATTTATTGATAACTGCAAGCGATGATGATTCTGTTAGACTTTTTGACACTGCAAATGCTCAGTAAGTGTAGTATGTCTGTCTGTCACACATCACGCCCTTTAGACTAGTACAATTACTACAATATGTCTGGCGCACATCATGATCACCAGAAGACCCTGAAGAACCCCGCCCCTGGACTCTGATTACTTCTAATCACTAATTGCTCTATTAAGGGTTTGATGAATTTTTAGGCTGTTGAAGACCACATATCATAAGCAGCATGGTGCTGATCGAGTATGCTTTACCCATCACCCTAGTTCTGTTATATGCTCTTCAAGACACAATTTGGCTACCCATGGAGGTATTCAATTAGAAGATAACTTTTATTTGTGTGTTTATAATTTATAGAGATGACCCCTGACATGTCCTACTACAAACCTGCTGCCAGAATCATTGCGATACCTTTCTATGTATGATAATCGATGCCTTCGTTACTTCAATGGACATAAAGAGAGGTAAGCAGTTCCATCCACTATATGACCACCTCCCAAATTTCATATACTACGTAGCTTTGGGTGGGTGGGGGTGAAACGTTTCCATGTTTTCATTTCGTAGTGTATCCCAAACATTTTATGATGACGAGATGGCAGTATTGTGATGTTCAGTATCACTTTCCTTTCAATTGGAGTGAAAAGATGAGCACCTTTCAATTAGAGCGAAAAGATGAACTAACACAGTAACACAGCTCAATGATATCATTTTTATGAGAAAAGATTAGTTTATTTCTTTTTCATCTTATTCTGACAATCTCACTGACTTTGTGTAAATATCGTGTTGGTTCACATGCTAATCTATTCGAGTTGGAGACAGGGTTGTGTCATTATGCATGTCTCCCATGAATGATAGCTTCATGTCTGGTTCTCTTGATCATAGTGTCCGAATATGGGATCTTCGTGTGAACGCATGCCAGGTTTGTTTGAACTTTTTATAATTTGCATCTATTCACAACACAATATATCTGTGTTTTAACATTTTAACTTATTTTAAAACACTATCCAGTTACACATACCCTTTAGATGGTCATCAAGCTATTCTTCTATATAAAATTTGGAAAACATTTTCATATATACATCAGTGTAAGGGGCTTACATAATATACATATGCTGATCAAGGTGTAAAGGCATGGAATACTGTGCCTGAGAGTGTGTATGCATGTGTGTGTGAGGTGGGGGGATAGCCTAAGTCCTGCTTTATTTGAAACTGAGCCAAATTTGACCTCTAAAATACTGAATAGCATTTCAAAGTATTCTAAACCTCACATCTTATCCCAGAAGTTAAAGAAAAACATCAAGAAAGGCTACTAGTTTATCAAGCTACAACCCATTTTCTAAAAGGAGAAAAGACTGAGATGGGATCATTGATATAAACCTTACACCACTTGACAGTTGACACTAGTATACCCAAGTGTATGTAGCAACTACCTAGAACATATTATCTATCACCGTGTCCTAGAGCAGTCTTTAGCCTTTCAACGCATGTATCTAGAACTTATCCTGAATATAATGTTGCCCAGTTTGATGGATTCTTATTACTTTAGTTTTCAGGGGATTATGCACCTTCGAGGCAGACCAACTGTTGCATATGATCATCAGGGTCTTGTATTTGCAGTAGCAATGGAAGGTGGTGCCATTAAATTGTTTGATTCTAGATCATATGACAAGGTTTGGGTCTCCTGTTGTGTTGCTTACTTCTTCTGAACAATCTATTTGTTGAAAAGTGATCATCCAATCTTACTGGTTATTATAGGGTCCTTTTGATACATTCCTTGTTGGCGGCGATACTGCTGAGGTGTGTGATATAAAATTCAGCAATGATGGTAAATCGATGCTCTTGACAACTACAAGCAATAGCATTTATATCCTTGATGCTTATTGCGGAGAAAAGGTTACATTTTCCTCAGAGATTTCTACATTCTATTGAATTTTTGTCTTTTCCTTCTAAAGTAATATAGCTAAAACTTGTTTTTCCATGTAGAGAGGTGGATTTAACTTGGAACCCTCCCCAAACACCACAATAGAAGCAACCTTTACTCCTGATGGACAATACCTTTTGTCAGGTACTGCATTTGGATTCGGCTTTAAATAAGAGACTGCATATGATGCACTGTTACCTACATCGCTTGTTGCTTTCGTCAATATGATACTCCTATATTTGCTGGACTGGATATCCTTTTAAATAAATGAAGACTTAAATACTACTATCTCCATCTTCTAAGTTTGGGACAAGAGTGAGTGGTGCGATTATTAAGAAAAGTGGAATTGTGCAGTTGACTTTAAATTATTAAAGTGTGAATAAAGTAAGAATGAATTACAACATTTCAAATATTATTAATCATGGTATGTGACAAACTTAGTGGAACAAACGAAAAAGGCAAAATGGGACGAAGACAGAGGGACAGAAGGCATAATGTTGTATCGGTGTACGGCACGTGTACCCGTGTACAGTATTTGTGCAACCATAGACAGTTCATTGGTTTATATAGTAGTTGAGCTCCTATTGCTAATTTCCTTGGCAATTCCTCGGTACAGCCATCATCATTTGTGATATTTATTTTATACGAAGTGGTTTGTTTCAAATTGTTGAGTAACATTCATGCAATTTATGCTGTAAACATGTTGAGCAAGGAAAAGTCAAGCTCAAGCTGTCAAGCAGAGGGACACGGAAAACGGTTCATCTCTCATCCGAATGGATGAGGGATATATATACTTCGTATATTTTAAGCACTGGTTACTTTTGCAAAAACCAAATTATTATGAAAGGGATGTTGAATTAACATTTATTTATGCTCATTTAACTCTAGCAATACATTCAAAGATCGATCAGTCGTTTTGAATATGGTAGTGATTAAACGTGAATCATGTGATGATGTAGGCTCAGGGGATGGAAACTTACATGCTTGGAACATTGATAAACTAAACAAGGTAAGCGTCCCTTCCGGGCATGTACATTAAACCTGTGGGTACATTATCATTAGATAGCTGTTTGAGTACTGCATTTACTCTTGAGTCTTGATGACTTATGTGTGGTCTGGCAATGCATTTGAGTATTTGACTGCTGACCCGTTGTGTTGCTAAGCCTGCTACGATCCTGTGACTAATCAAAATATGCACGCCTGTGTTTTCAATAGGTGGCTTCATGGGATAGCCATGTGGGGATTGCATCTTGTGTGAAATGGGCTCCAAGAAGAGTAATGTTTGCAGCTGCATCTTCCGTTCTGACCTTTTGGATACCTTCTGACACTTCCCTGCCTTTTGCTGCTCCTCCTCCTCCCGGCAATAATGTCTCTTCCTAAATTTGTCATTAAGTTAACTGCAACACTCATGTTTCCCTTGGCTTCCATGGCTGGGCAGAAAGGCTGCTACCGTCTCTCTTGTTTTTTTTTTGTTTTTCCTAGGGCGGGTTTTGTTATTAAAAATGTAAAAATCCCCTAGCAAATGTGTGTATTTCAATCTAGTTAGAGTCTTAGAGACCCACTGGCATTCGTGATGAAATGCAGTCTCCGGCTTGTAATTGCAATTAACTAACATAGAAACGCAAACAGAGTTCGTAATTGCAATTCATCAATCATCATCATCGAAATCCACATTAGTTTTTTTTTTTTAAATCGCTATGGTTTTTATGATCTGTTCCAGGTTCTTTTGTTTCTTATTATTTGATGGGAATTATTTGTTGAGATTTTTATGATCATCATTTTCTTCATTCATCTGTTTGATAATTTTATGATTTATCTTACTCTCTATTTTTCTTCCTCCAATTCCCTGCTTTCTTTATTAGGTTTGCTATTTGTCACCTGTTCCTACATTGTTTTTACATTCAGTGCTTTTATATTAAAACCATTTATTCAGGTAGTTTGGTTTTAATAGCTGATGTCCTGATGACATGAATCTGCAATTATACATGGTGGCAGGCAGGGAACCATCAAGCCAAGACAACTAACTATTCGAAACCAGAACAATCTATGTAATAAAACCAGAACTAAATTAAAGCAGCCAGGACACAATTTTATTTTCAACAAAAAGTCTAAAGCTACCCCCCCCCCCCCCCCCCCCCCCTCCCGCTCCAGGATTCATCATATTAGGCCTTGTTTTGAATGGTCTGACCAACATCTTGAGTCTTCTGACCGACTTGAACCATAGCATTCTGCATGGCCTTCTTTGCATAGTCCATCTTCTCCGCCGGCATTATGGACGACCTCCCTTGGCTGAAGTAGTTGATGAGGCGCCAGAGAGACGATAATCCGGTGATCCCGAAAGCACCGGAAGTGAGAACTCCGGTGACGGCGAGGCCGACCACCATGGTTGCTGGCACCAGAACTGGACTGAAGAGGAGATAAACGGGCAAGCTGAGCGCGAGCCCAATCATGGAGATAATGAAGGAGATGCTGGCCAAGCCGAGAAAGATGGTTCCGATCGGGATGAGGGCTACGATGGCTAGGACTTGGCCAGTGGACGGACCATTTTCCGGGAGGAGGTTCTTGCCGGTATCCCGGCCGTGCTGTTGGTGCTGGCGCGGTGCCTGAGAATAACGGGAATCCATGCTGATATCGAAGGAATGATAAATGTTTGAGATAACGATAGAGAGCTCTGACGAGTTACGGAAGAATATATAAATGAAATTAAGTGAGAGTAAAGGAAAGCTCAGTTCGCTACGTGTTGGCAAACGGAAATGCATGGAACAAAGGCTTTGCATGAGAGCCATGTAGCACACTTCATTTATTTCTGTTAAAATTTGAACATATTTGTTTCATCATATTCAAAGTTCAAACAACGTACTAGAATAATGTAGGCCGTGTTGTGGGATTTATATTAGTGGGTTGTTAATATATTAGGAGTAGTTGTTAGCGGTTAAGTAGTACTTACCTTCGTCCCGCTACGATCAGTCCGTCCCACTAAGATTGTCTCATACTAAATTTGGTAAAGTTTGTGTGACTCTAAATCATTCTTAATTTTTTCTTACTTTATTAATTCAATATCAATCACATAAACCATTTTTTATTAATTTACGTGTCACTGTCTCTTGTCCCATTGTTAGCTGGACGGAGGGAGTAATATATACGTAGTATATAGCGTATAAAGTTTATTGGAGATAAAAAACTTGATGACTGAATTCGTTATTAACTAATCTACTAAATAGAGTATGTTTGACATTTGACGGTTAACGGTAAACATAATTTATGCTGGTGGGTTGTTAATAGGGAATTCAATTAGCGAGTTTGAATAGCAGAATAAGTTGACGAGTTGCACAAGATGTTTGGTAACATAGTTTTATAGTTATAGCAATTAGTAGGAAATGAACTACTCCGTATTTCAAAATGCTGATCTAAAGCGCTACTAATTGCAACGTTTCCATCCAAAAACGTTAGGATTAAACAATTATTTACCATCCAAAAACACTAAAAAGACCAAACCACTATTTTTTGCGATGGTTTATACGTCCTTCGTCATAAGCGTTTTGTAAAAAATTATTCATCACAACATAAAGTTAAACTTTTTGCTAAAGTAATTAAATTCAATCTCGCTCTCAAAATTTCGTGGATTTTGTCCGCCTTCGGTTCTTATCTCATCTACACCTAATTTAATCATGCACATAATTTTAACTTTCTGATTTCACGTCAATTCAAGTCTTACAACTTTTGTGATGGCCGAAGGACTATATTTTAGAAAGGCTAAAGAGTGAAATAAGTCCTAATATCAGTCGTTTAAGCTCAATTCAACCCCCTGAACTTAAAAAAGTTCAATTCACACCTCGAATCGCCAATAATGGTTCAATTGTCATTTTCTACATGTAACCAACCGATCACCCGTCACATCACCGGTTTGATTGCCACATGTGCAACTCAAATTGAAACTAAAAGTTCAAATAAGCCCATGAACTCGTCATAGTTGATCAAATCACCCCCATCAAATAGTTCAAACTATTAAAAAGTGTCAAAATTAGAATAAATTAAAAATATAAAATATAAAAAATTGAAAAAGATTAAAAAAGTATTAATATAAAAAATTAAAAAATATGAAACTTAAGTTTAATTTTAGACTGTATATTCATACTTTATATCTATGTTTTTACATCAATATTTTATTTAAGAATTCATTTTTTATTTTAGTTTTTTATTTTATGTTACTATATTTTATTAATATGAAAATAATGACATTCTTATTTGAGAATATTTGCTATGTTTTATTCCTACTTAGGGATTTTTTCTTTAGAGTTTTAGATTTGTCCTTACATTTATATTTGATATTTCACTAGTTTTTTAACATCTATTCCTTTTTTGCATTAGATAGATAAAAATCATATTTATGCTTTTAAGTTATACGTAGTACAAAATATTTCCGAATTGAACTTTTACATTTTCTATTCCATAACTTTTTTGAAGTACTATAAATTTCTATTGTATATTTCATACGTTTTAATTCAAAACCTACGTTTTAATAACATAAAATAAAATATTAAAATACTAATAAGTCTTAAATAAAATATTGATGTAAAAAGATATATATTTCGTATAAAGTATGAATTAAAAGTCTAAAGTGAAACTTAATTTTCAAATTTAATTTTTTTTAATTTTTATATTCATATATTTTTAATCCTTTTAATTTTATTATTATTATTTTTAATTTATTACTCCCTCCGTCCCTTAAAACTTTTTCAACTTTCCTTTGGATGTCCAATAACGTTGCCACGCACTTTCCCTTTTGGGTATGTTTGGTTCATGAAATGTCAGATTACCATGAGAATGTCAGATTGCTGGGTATGTTATATTGATGAGAACATATTCAATTGATTCCCATTTGTGTTTGGTTAACATCAAGGGAATGTGTCATAATTTATTTGGTTGAAAGATATCTTATATTGCATATATGATGAATTACTTTTATGCCCTTTAAATCTATAACTCTTATAACATAAATACCTTAAAAAATATAAATGTTAAGGCAAAAAAATATGCAAATAACAAGAATAGACATTCGAATATAATTAATACTCTGTCCGTCCCACCTACAAGGTTGTTACACAATTTAAGATGTTCGACTGACCATGAAACTAACGGATCTCTGTCAATAATAAGATTATTTTTAGTAAATAAAACTTATATATGTAGACACTGCATTAAAAGTTTTATAAAGTCACAAAAAATTAAATTTGATAACAGTTGAATATATAAAGAAATTAAATGAAAAGATATAATTAATTGAAGGTATTTTCAGAAAAAAATTAGATCACCCCGGGAATGTGAGATAACCTAAGGCATGGATGAGTTTAACATTCCCCTCCATATAACATTTCCGGGAATGTAACTTTCCCGATTTTTCTTCAAACCCGTGAACCAAACAAGGGTATCTAACATTTCGTGCATCACATTCTGGCCTTCATGTGAGATTACCCCCAACCAAACGGGCCCTTTAAGTAAAGAATTTGTGGTTACAATTAATTCTCTCTCCTCTACACAAACCTCTACCACACAGTTTTTACTTTATTAATCTTTGTGCCGGTCAAACATGACAAAATTTTAAGCGAAAGAGGTAGTACAATTTTGACACGAGTGTATAGACCACTTTTTTAAACTTAGACGGACAAGAGCCTTCGCCTTTCCTCTACAAACGGTGGCTCACCCTTCTAGGGTTTCCCACATGGGACGACAGTCTTGCTAGAAAACATTAAAGTCAAACACTCTTAAAAATTAAAAAGTGAAAAGAGAGAATGGGTATTAGTATTACCTGGAATTCTATGTGAACGGGTAAATGCCCGGGAAAAACCATTCTACTCGTCTACCTACTTCTCAGGTGAAATGTTAAAGGGACTTCATTTTGTTGTACCCCATTTTTTACCCTACACTATTGTGTGGTCACAAATGTGCCAACACTTTTAAGTGATGCAACACATTTAAGCGCGGTCCTCATTTGGAACACACAATGTGTGGGGTAAAAATGGGTACCGAAATGGGTACCGAAATGGGTACCTATAACTAAACTCCACTCAATTTGCAAACCAAAATCATAAGCCTCATAACCAAATAGGTAGCATACAATCAATTAGATAGCCATTTTGATACTACGCATGAGTTACTAAAGTCTGAATGATTTCACTAGTACAATATGAAAACCACAGGCAGTGAAATAACTCTAATTATAGAAATGAAAACACACTTTTGAACCCCATGAAGGAGTTCACTTCCTTGTTGTCACCCACCACTGCCGATGAAGAGCACGGCCTTTCCCATAAACATGGAGAAGGGAGATTCTTCCCTTTCATTTCTGAAGAGTTTCTCAACTCACCAATTCCCTTTTTCAGCAAAGGTGATGATGACACCTCCTCACCTGCTCTGTATCCCGACAAGGTTCTTAACATCACCGGAGGCTGATTATCACTATCCATCACCTTTGTGCCCCCTTTAGATTCATGTTGCTTTCTCTCCACAGGTTCAGGGTCCAAATCAACAACACTATCTGTCACGGCTCTTGTTGCGCCTGTGAAACCCTCAAAATCAGAACTGCTGCCTTGTTCATACCGAGTGCTGAAGCAGTTCTTCTGATTGTCCAAATTATATTCCATGGATTCAGTGGCCTCCCACGTTGGTGAATCTTGCACGTGTGTGAATGCTGGTTGAACAGAATCGGGTTCATATAAAAAATTTCCTGGAATAGATAAACTTATGTCTTTAGCTGTACACAATTATAAGGAGTTTTCCTATAATACGACTAAAACAAAGCTAATGAACAACAATATGACTACATGGTCATTATTATAGTCACTCTGAAAATGCCACCAGACACTGTCATAGACAAATGGTGCATCACTGTCGTCATTATAGTCAGAGGCAACATATCAAAATAGGCGCTGCGCTGAAAGTCACATTTCTGTTAATCTATTATATTTATTTTATGATATGTTAGTCATTGTTTCTATTTAATCAACAAAATGATGCGAACTGGAAGATGACAGGAAGAAACTTCACTCGTGTAATTTGTAGGACTGATGGTATCCTTGGAGAGGTTATGGCATTCTGAAGTTAGTAGATCTTTGTCTGAGAACTTCATTTCCCGTTGATGAGCTCGAGCAGATTGAAGGGCCATGCTGTAACGTGAAACTTTGCTTGTTCCTTCATCTAATACTTCTATGGGAGCATCAATTGAAATCAGTCTCTCACGAGTTCGTTTTCTAATAAGAGCCAAGTTTGTCTCTAATGCAGTATCACCCAAAATGGCCGGTGCAGGTAAGTTTTTCGCCTTTTCACGTATGTGATCAAATATGTTCTTTTCAGAGATGATCTTGCATTCATCGTCTTCATCAGTTCCAACTTCATTGCAAGATGGATTTTATAAAAAGAATCATTAATTAGATGGACCCGAGGACAATAAAATGTGCATAGGGCAGGAATTTACTCTCTACCTTCCTCTGAGTCTTCATCTATAAGCTTGAAACTTGGCCTGGTTTTGTGAAAATGGAAGTTAGTCACTGATAAATCACATTTACAACTTGAAGGGACCAAAGGCTGGGAGTATGTGATTTTTTATCTCCTACAAATATTGTTAAAAGTAGATTCTTTTATGAGAGTCAGAAAGATCAGGTCTTACATGTCTATAACACCTTCAGTTTCATCGTCTAGAACTAGGATGCATGCATCCTTGACTTTACAGGAGGGGGACTGCCTTGGTTTCAGTTTATTAATAATACTATCACCTATATCCTTCATCAATGTTACGCTTTGATGGACATCAACACCAACTGTATGGACAATTAAAAATGAAATGTTTCAGAAGAATGACAAATAACATATTTATATCAAAACTTGCAACTTATCATCTAGATGTGAGTGAAGTTACTGAATTCGTCAAATATCAGATCTGCTTTCACAGTGAGCTTCCCTTTCTGAGGGTCAGGCACTATAACCGTTGCACTATATGGGCTATTAAAGAAATGTACCAATGAGCTTATGAATTTTGTGGCAGCGAAGGTGAAGAGATATCATGGGTTGACCAAAGCATCTGTATTATTACCTTGGAAAGTCGTCCACTCTGCAGCAGAAAAAGAAAACGTATATAAATTGTGTAAATTTTCAGTACACATGCATTTGATTGCATTGTATTACATTAAACCACATCTAAAAGAATATTTGATTACATTACCTTACATGCTATTATGGCCTACTAAACTACACCTACATGTCAAACTCAAAAGTCACACACAAAAACTGGAGACAAATTTAAACAGTTACATTTTGAGTGTGTGTAATGTAAAAGCAAAAGGTATTCTTGACTGCTCATTGTTTCTAAGAGTCTTCTTAAAGGGAGAATCAGGTTTACACTTCCATCATTACTCTTTCCTTATGATAGGTATCAGATTTGAATGCTCCAGGTAAACAGCACTAAATCACTAATGTAGCCTATACATTTATTTTTCTCGACTGCTCATTGTTTCTTAGAGAGTTCTCTTAAAGAAAGAACCAGGTTAACACTTCTGTCATTACCCTTTCTTTTTTTATAATAGGTATCAGATTTGAATTCTCAAGGTAAAACAGCACCAATGTAGCCTATACTTTTATTTTTCCTTTCAAGGAACTTGAATAATCAAAAGTTTACATTACATGTATCAATAAGATATACTGGAAATCAGTTCTACACTACCTTATCTTTTCATGAAATAGAATCAGGTTATCTTCTTCCATAGAAATTATCTGTGAGATAAATTCCAATAAAAAACTGGGATATAAAACTATGCAGAAGATTATAAACTCAAGTTAAAATATCTCATAAGAACTTAAGAAGCATGTGAGACTACCAGATCAGCATAGTGTCTTTTAGTCATTTGTGCAGGTTGAGACATCCTCGTCAAAGTTACGACTATCTTTGACTTACCTCGCCTCTGACTCTCAGTTTCCTCTACTTTCAACTCTATTTTTGGTGGAAGTGACAATAATGCTCCTTTTATATGGTTCCCGAATGGATATTTACGACCACTCACTATCTCAATCTTTCTTGGATCAGCATCAGCAAGAGCCTCAAAAGATTTTACTCCCATCGAGTTCAGTGCCTGATGAGTGATTTGAACTTTGCATAATTAGTATAAGCTAAGTAATTGTCCAATGCAAACAAAAAGCACTGCAAACTGTGGTATAAGCTGCAAACCTTTGCCGTCACCATTCCAATGCCAGGTAATTGCTTTAGCAAGAACGGACTGTTGTCCCACACTTTTTGATGCAAAGATTTGGCAAGAAGGGCTGAACTCAAAGCTCCAATGTAGTTTTTCTTGTAAACAAAGTACTCTTTCATGCACTTCGAAATTCTGCTTCCATTTGTGCATATAGAATTGGTGTCCTACAACAAGGCACACATTGTCTTTAAGTTAAATGTTTAATATCAACTGAACAATATGTTAGATGTCCTTTGAAGAGACAAAACCTGGGTCATTGACAACTCGTGTACTAAAGGATCTCCGGTAAGGCAGTCATTAGCTAAAATAAAAATTTTCTCTTCCTTTGTTTGAATCCGCTTTTTCTTCTTCTTGTTATCACCGAGGATGTGAAACCGTAGCCTGTTATCTTTGTCATTGTTTATATCATTCAGAAGTTTTTTCTCATTGCGCCTGAGTTGTATCCCTTCATTTCACATGAAAAAGAGTTTCTATCAGTCACACAGTAACCACCCAATAATAAGTTATACTCCGTATGAAATGTTTCTAATACAAGAAATCTCCTCAGCATGGCAAATAATTTGAAGCACATCTTCTATGCTACAGTTTGCAGGTGCCTGCATAATGTGTTTCATTGTCTCAAATTTTAGATAGTATTTTGTCATCAATTTTGCAGGCTCTGCAAGCAACAAAAAATAAAAATTAGACTTCTTAGACACTAATAACGCATGAGGTTGCATTTTGAGTTCATTACCAAGAGGCTTTAAGAGGAAACCGTCCTCGTCAGTCCAGATCATTTGGTACCGTGTTAACTCATTGACCTTCTGAACACAAATCTCTGGGAATAACCAAATAAACTCCATAAATAAGTAAGCATAAAAGGCACCTACAATTTGTACCATTCTAGCCAATAGATACCTTGCAGATGCCTTTCTACATGCTCACTGGCTAGTTGTTTCTTTATTGCATAATTCTCAGGGTTCTGGTTTTCAAATTTATAAAGCATCAATAATCCAATTAGCAACTAGCAAACTGATCGCCATGCTATGAGCAGAAGAACATGCCTTTTTCATTCTCACAAACAAATATGAGCATTTCATCCATTTGATTGCTTTTGTAATATCTGAAACTGTCAGTTGAACAATCTCTGCGGTCAAGTGCTCGGTAATGCATTGAAGCAGTCTAAACATTACAAAGAGGAGCATTAAAACTTCATAGTATCCCCTATCTGCTAAATATTGAAGGTGAGGAACCATGCAGGGACATTAAAAATCACATACTGTGATTCCACCAGTTCACATCCACTTAGCAGGTTCTCATATAAGTGTACCTAGAATATTAGTAAAAACTGCACCATCAAATACAAAATTGAGAAAACAACTAGTGCATATTAGAGATATTTGATTGCACCAAATTAGAAAAAAAAAACATGTTGGAACTCACAGTTTCTTTTCTGGTCATTATTATAACCAGGCCTGCATCATCAAATTGTGGACGGCCTGCTCTTCCACACATCTGCATTGGGAAAAAAACATATCCTTGGGATTAGAAGCCACTAAAAACACGTTCTCATGCAAGAAAAATAGGCTTAACATGTACAGATATAAAGAACATCCATGATAAACATGTTGAGGCTTACTAATGCTAGCAATTCATGGATTCGTTCAAGGATTCATATCAGTTGAATACCTGCAGGATCATAGATCTGTCATATTCCATGTAAAGACGTTTTTCCTGGTTGCTGCCAAGAACAAATAGTGTGGGTTAGGATAAAATCAAGGAATAAAAAATGTGACAAATATATAAAAAAAAATGACACGTACAAGTACTGTGTTGACTTTATTATAACTGTATATGCCGGTAGGTTAATTCCTTGGGCAAGAGTATTTGTGGTGCACAGAACTTGCAGATCACCGCTCAGAAAGAGACCTTCAATAAGATTTCGATCCTTCATTGAAAGCCCACCATTGTGGTATCCAACTGCATAGTATGTATAATATCACTTACATATCTCTCAAGACTCAACTTAAGAATAACAAATTATGCACAACCAGAGCATGCTTGTGGTTTGACCAACAAAAAACAAAAGCTAGTAGTTTGTACCACCATATGGAATATAAGATTGCATTTGTTTATCACCACATGACAGTGAAGCTTCTCTCAGTCTGTCTTGATGCTCTCTGTTTTTTATGAAAGGATTTGAATGACCAAATGTCATAGCTGTTTGTGTGATCCGTTGTGCAGTCTCTTGTGCTCCTTTTCGTGTTGAGCAGAATACCAGTGCAGACTTGCCTCTTGAATGTAGCATGAGGATATCTGCAGTAAATTTCCCTTGTTTTGATAATAACTAATAAAGAATGGAGACAAACTAACAGTTAGATGTCAAAAGTATTTTTTTTTTTAAAGAGGTAGCTTTTCAGGCTTACCAAATATGTAGTTCTGAAGACGCTGGAGAATTAAAAGTGCAATATGATCAGTGAACCAGAAAGGGGAATAATATGCGATGGTACATACAGATCAGAGATCAAAATATTTAATTATCTTCAATTTAAGTTGAGTCGATGAGATGGGCAATTAACAGACATATTGAGTCAAATGGAAAATGTTCACAAGCACAAACCTTTTCAAACAGAAAGTCATTCTTCGCAGGAGTGTAGCCTAGAAAAAGAAAGTAAGAATCAAATTTTAAAGAAATGCAGTGCTAACCTCATTAAAAGAAAGAAAACCCACTCAATCTCTGTATATACCTAAAACTTTGGTTGTCAATTTTACTGGTCTCATTTCTTCACCAAACCTGCAAAATAATGTACAGCTTGTTTCAACAATTAGCTCATTTCTTCAATATAAAAGCAAATAAACCCATCATGTGATACATGTAACTTTACTTTTTAATTCCTTGGTCAGGAACCATAAGCCACTCCGCTGCACAACACATGAGTGATTCTTTCATTAACTATCACTAAATTCAATCAAAATTTGCATCACAATCAGAGTACCAGACTGATAGAAATAGCAGTATTATTAAAAGTTATAGTTACCAATGTCATTAATATTCGGAATTGTAGCTGAGACAGCTAGAAAACGAACATGAGCTAAAGGAGTGTTTTTCATTTCGGGACTGGAAGAAAGCATTTTGATTCGGCTAACGACAGCCTCCAAAGCTGCTCCACGAGGATCACTCAACAGATGAACTTCATCAATAATTACCAGTGCAATGTCACTGAAAAAGCTCAGGCCTCCATCTTTAATGCGATATCGAGTCACAGCATCAAACTTCTGGAGATATCACAATGTGCGCATCGATGAGTACAGAACATGATAGTCATGAAGTAGCCAAAAGCATAGAAGATAAAAGAAGTGTCATCAGCCTTACACCTCTGGAGTAGTAAGAATTATGTCAGCATCCACAATATCCTTATTGTTGTAGTACTCATTATCCCCTGTCAGCTCCAGACAAATGACTCCCCATGAACCAAGCTTTTGGGTCCAATCCCTAAGTTTCTCTTGTACCAGAGCTTTAGAAGGTGCCACATAGATCTTTACAACACAAGAAAGAAGACAAAAAACTTGAGGCTATTGGCAGATATGCAACAGCTAGACAAGCATGATGTTTTGAGGAAAAGGGAGTGTACTAAAACTGATAACTGCAGTAAAGTGTGTTCCTAAACCAGGCTGAGAACTGGAAGCACCATTAAGTTTAATCCAAGTAGTAATTGGGGTGGAAATAAGTGGTGTTCAGCGGAACAGGAATTTAAAAATAGAAGGCCTCGAATTGAGTGTATTTATGTAACATACCGTCTTCAGAGACCCCTTGGCATGTGCAAATACACCCTCACTGGATATGAACCTTGAGAGAAGCCTCAAAATACATAGCTCAAAAAGCACTGTTTTCCCACTTCCAGTAGGTGCCGAAATAACCATGTTCACATCCGAAAGGTAACAAGTAGGAAAGCATTCACTCTGCAAGGAGTTAAAATACCTGCACGTGCAAGGGAATGATATAACATATGGCGTATTTTAATTTTTTAAATTTCTTTTTGCTAGGAAAAAAGAAACACTAGCCCAACAGTCCCGTGTTTGGTTTGCGGATTCAGGAGCGAAGAGAATGGGTGTATCTATTTAAATACTGTTGTATTTTATCCTCAACTTTAGATTGGTTGGAAAAAAAGTGAGTGAATGAAAAATTCTACAGAAATACAAGATTTAATTAAAGATCTAATCATACTTCGCAGTTATTTTTGAGTCGATCTTAACATACAAATAGAGATACCAGATAATGACAAAATACCACTTAGACTAAATTTATAGATACAAAAATTATAACCATCAATATTTCAAGTATTATAAGGAAATACTGGAATTTGTAATCTTCCATTGGCGCCACCTGAGGAGGAGGTTGTTACTGACCAGAGCCTCAACAGACGGCAACTGTTATTGTACCATGATAGTAGATAGGTCATACTCTAAGGTGCTAGGTCATACACTCATACTCTAAGGTGCTATCACCTACAGTGGATGCCAATGTCCTTTGATGGTAGGAGAGTTGGTGTCCGATACATACTAACACTATAACAGCGACGGTACAGCGACAGTGCTTGTACATATTTTGGCATCAAATACGCACAGATGACTTAGCAGAAATCGGCGCCAAATACACACAGATTGACTCGTATTCACAACTTTCCTACTTGCCATAGAAATAGTGGTTTGCCGATTCTGGGACATGTACATAGTGGAGGATAAGTCTCCAGATTCTAAAATAAACGTTCTGAAAAGTGAAATTGGCAGGAAACACACACATACACACGATGGACGGGAGGATTCGATATACCTGAAACTGAACGCTGAGCGGAACAGAGCAGGTAAGTCCATCACGGACTTCAGCGAATGAGCATCCATAGTTTCCCTCAATCGGCCTTTATTCACGCTGCAATACAAAAACAATGCTCACCTACTCGATCAAACCATGGACCCGACTGAACGCAGACGTGACATTACAAGTCTGTTATACAGGTACTGGAAGTCTGAAATCAGTAGAACATACCAATGCGATTATGCGAGCAAGCAGCTGAATCACCGGTGGTAGTTAAGATGTCAGGATGTCTGAGCTTTAGCGGCTGAAGTCACGACGGAAAATTCAACTCCGGAGCTAGTGTTCCGGTAGAGAGGAGAAAGTGCGGAAGAGGAGAGAGCAATTGGAGGGAAAGTTTGTTGGATTTCAAAATAATGCACATTCAGACATTCTCACATCACGGCTCCATTTAAACGGCTAATGATAATCAGTCCTGGTTCGCTCCTTTGTTTGGCGGGTAAATATGCGCAAATTATACGGGAGTATGCAGTAAATTTGTCATTATTTCAAAGTTGAAGGAGATGAAGGGTAATAGTCGAATTAGAATTAAAATACTATGTAAGTTATACAGTACTCCGTATTAGTTAAATTAATACTCCGTATTAGTCAAATGGTAATGATTAAAAAAATAAAAACAGTCAAATCCAAAGTGGAGTAGAGGTTTTATTTTTGCCATTTTCATTCTTTCATTGTTAAAACTATTGATAATAACATAATGATGCTAATTATATTAAAGTGATTAGTAACGGTGACGGAACCAGAGATTTTTCGAAGGGGTCCGGGAGCATACGGAAGACTAAGAATTACGGAGTATTAATTTATTATGTATTTGCTATTTTGCTCAAAATATAATACGGAGTAAAAATAACAAAAATGTAATGCGTTAGCACAAATTAGTTCATTACATATTGCTTGACTCATATCCATAATCTGGGTAGATCAATCATACGAGTTTTAATTTGTTCAAAATATTGTACATGTGATAACTTCATGTTGGGATTTGGGAAAACACCGCTCCCAATCTTTTCCAGGATCACAAGTTCATAAACTCTTGTACACTTATATATCAACACACTCATAATACAGAGACTCAATTTGACAATATCACTTTGTATTACCCACACCAACTCTTTGTATCTGAGACTACTTCACTTTACCTAACTCGATCACATACACTTCATCAAGCGATATCTTTGAGCCTTCTTTTCTCACAAGAAGACTCTCACTCTCCTCTCTTAAGGAGACTCTCACTTTCACTCACTCAAGAGCTCTCTTCAAGGTTAACATACATAGAAACGGGAAACTTCTCTATACTAACATCATCAAAGCTCCTCTAGAATTTTCCATGCACCACTACACATCTAGATTCTTCCAAAAAGTATACACAAGTTTCTCTAATCTTCTAGAATGATTCAGAGAACACCACAATTCTTCAAAATGTTCTAAAGTCTTCCACACACTTCCACACAATTTTAGTGAGTTCCACTCCTCTAAAAAACTACACATTATTATTCTAGAACATTCAATACTTCTTTACACACATATAGAGAATCTTGAGCATTTATGAGAATGCTAAAATTCTAATGTATTTCTTCACTAAGGAGGGAATCCAACATAGTCTCAAGAATCTTTTGTTTTTTTTTGTTGCAAGAAATGTGACAACATATATATTTGTCAAACTAAATACTTTCTTGTTCACTATAACCACGAAAAGTCATCTCGGGTGTCATTAAAGGTTTAAAACAATCCACACTTTCATCATTCAAATGAATGTGGTATGCTGCAGCCAATACTTGTATTCCTATAGACACGTATGTTTCCTGAAAGATGTTGCCCTTAATTTTAACGGTTAATCTAGATCATTCTTAATTGGTATTTATTTTTGGAAAAAGGGCGCATTAAATACTCCCTCCGTTCTGCATTAGTTGTTCCTATAAGGTTTGACACAAGTTTTAAGAGGAAAATAATAGGGGTAGTGTAAAAGGTGTAGTGAGTTGTGTTTAAATGAAAAAGTAGGAAAAAAATGAAAAGGTGAGAAAGAGAATGGAGGTAAATATGTATATTTATTAAAAAAAACTTTCTAAAAATGGAAAGGGAGATATATTAAAAAACAACCCAAAATGGAAAGATGGACAATTATTGGAGAACGGAGTAAGTACATTATAAGTAGTACTACTACTTTTTTTGCCCGAAGTGGGAGCGCTTGCCCCCCTCATGCCCCTCTCCAACTCCTCCACTGATGAGTAATGAATAAATTATGTATGTGAGTTATACAAATGAGTTTTTATTGTTTTTGAAAGGTTCGGAAATAATATAACTTATAGTAAACTTGCAATGCAACTCTAAACGAGTTTTAATCATATTTAAATGAGCATAATGGTTATAAAATGTTTATTAGTGTTATTACATTATAAAGTTAGTATATTAAGACTGTATGAGCGATCAAATGTACACATAATAATTATGAGTAATGCATTGAAATGAATATATTATGTGTATAGTTTATAAAAATGGGTAATACTAGCTAGTATGTTGTTGTGAGTACGTCGTATAATGTTTAAAGAAATTTTCTTAATTTTTTGTAGGTGCAAGATTACGCCATGTAAATGCATTAACAAAGATATTATGGGTATTAATGCGCGCGTGCACATACCTAGAGACTCTTTTTAAAAAAACACTATTTGTTACCCAAGAAAGGAATGTTGGTAAGAAGTTGCTTTAAATAAGAATAAAAACGTTTGAAAATTTTAAAATAGGACGATAATTACTTATACTTAAAGAATAAAAATATGATAGTACTATTTTGAAATTACAAAACGTGTTTATTCATATTTTAGGTTTTTTCACAATATTGATTTGTTTTTGTGGTTACTCTTTAAGGCCAGTACTCTGAAATATAAATATGCTCTTTGTACACACCACTTGTACACGCATCTTACATACTATAACCATGATCGTCTATAGCAAATTTGAGGCCCTAGACAATCAGATCGAGTTTAGTTTTTTTTTGGAAAAAAGTAGAATTTAGATTTGCATTTCATTTCATATGTTTTGTTTATCAACTATATAGAAGTAAATTACATACAAAATGCACAATATACTATTAATGCAAAGTGAGTACCTTTTTACACTCTTTTGCAAACACGATAGTTATATCCCCTCTGAACAATGTTTGAGGGAGAATATTTTGTGTGTACTTACCGATCTATAGAACCGGGTAGCGCGCGACCATAAATGGTTTTCGATCAAGTCTTTTCATAGTTTATTCATTCTCTTTGTGTAACTTGAAACATGTTTCCTTTTTCCTTAACCACACAATTCCAAATTCATACAAAATTATACATAGTAATACATAAGATTTTTTTGTATATCCTTTTAAACCTATCATAGTAGCTGCTCCAGATAATGCCAACATCCTTGATTGGGATGAGACTCAAACTTGTGACTTCCTCTTTGGGAGATCAACAGTGATGTCATCGGAACACAAGACACTTGATAAAATAAGAAAATATTTGATAAATAAAAAACTAAATATCCATATCCCATTAAAAACTAAATAATAGATATCAATTAAAAAAATTAAATAATCAACCCAAGTTGCAATAAATAAGCAAATACTTGATAAATAAGAAAGTATTGTTTATTGAAAAAACTAAATAATAGGTAGCACCTAAATAAATTTGAAAGAATGGCATGGATATTAGCTACACACTTTTAATGGACCAAAATATGAGTGGTTTTAGAATTTCCAAAATTGTGATTTCGAATTCAACGCAACTCCTTCGTCTCCCTCTCTCAGCTAACCCGATCTACAACATCTACCAGCAGCAATCGCCATCTACCAGCAGCAATCGACGATGCGAAGGAGACCACACCAGCCCCCGACCTCTCTCTCGATCTCTGTACGCCTTCTTCTCTTCGCACGACCATCCTTCGCATCCCTCTTCTTCTTCTTCTTCTCCGACGACCTCTACTCCGTCGGCGATGGTGGCTGCTAAGGTTCAGAAATGGTGCCTCGAGCCTTGGAGACGACAACCACGTCTGTCTAACTGTTCTTCATCTCCTTTCTACATCAATTTCGTCCCTACATATGCAATTGCTTGATTGTGACCTAGATTAGAGTTTGAGATATGATTTCGAGGGTTAGAATTGCACTTCCCTGCCAGATCCGCCTTCGCCGGTGGATAACGACTCGATTTGGGGCTTCCACGGTCGGGGCTATGGAAGTGGGTTAGCTTGCTGGAGAAAAGTCTAGGGGGCTGGCCGCTGGGGCTGTGAAAAATGCTGGGTGAGGCGGGGGAGGGGTCTGGATGAGACAGGGGGTTGGGTGAGACAGGGTTGGGGCTGGGGTGAGGCAGGGGCATGAGTGTGGTGGTTGCCAGCGGTGGTACCGTTGGTCGGAGGCGATGCGGCAGTGCGGCGGCGGTAATTGGGCGGCGTCATTGTGGGGCGTCAATGTGGAGGCATCACTTTGTCAATGTCACTGTGGCTAACGTGACACATGCGGTGGCTAAAGTGACACGGGCGGTGGCTACAGTGACACGGGCGGTGGTTGTAGTGACACGGGCGGTGACTACAGACCTACAGTGACACGGGCGGTGGTTGTAGTGACACGGGCGGTGGCTACAGTGACACAGGCTGTGTACACAGGCGGTCGTGTACACAGCCGATTTTTGGTCAACTAATGCCAACACACAAACATCGATGTTTTGTGCCACAATGTCATGTAGGCACAAAATTTAATATATGCGTACGAATGATTTTTTGTGCGTGGCCTAACTTTACATACATTTATAGGTAAATTCCATCGTACAGCCGACTGTACTGTGCGCACGGTACAGCCGGACTTTTAATTCCCAAATCGCAGGTCGCAGGTCTTCGTCGCAGTTCGCAGGCTTCCATCGCAGATCGTTCTCGATGCTCGTCCTTCGCTCGCCGCCAACACAGATGACGATTCTCAACAGCCGCAACTCTCCAGCATGAGCGCATCACCTCAAACTTCGACTTCAGCGGCGGCTCCTGCGCAGTACATGGTGTATAGCCCTAGTTGCTTCTTCTCCCTCTTTCTTGTTTTGGATTCTTCCTTTTTCTTTTTTTCTTACTTAAGTTTGGTGAGTGAGTTTGGTCACTTGTTGGCCACATGTTAGAGAAATCTAAGTTATACGTAATTCTTCAGATGTGAGCATAATAAATGAAATTATGAGCATAGTAGACATTTCAAATGAGTTTTATGAATGCTCATTTCGTAATTTATGTATACTCATTTGATATTAGTGTAATACTCATTTTAAACGAACATATACAAATGAATATTGAACACATTAGAAATGAGTTTTATGTTAAACTCAAATGAGTATAACGCCCAAAATGAATGAGCACACACAAATGAACTTTTTAATTATTTGATGCTAATTTGTAAGTTATGTATGCTCATTTTGGACTAAAACTTTTTCATAAACGAAAAAATAATAAACAAAATGTGATATATGAAGAATGAATCAGATATCACTAATGCTCACCGTTAGGATCATAATACTCAAAGACAGGTTCGATACTCATCAAAATTGAGTTAATTTAATGCTCATTTAAGAGAATCTATTATTTTCACAATAGTTACAAGTTTGCCCTACAGCAGCCAGGTGTACCATATACGAATTCACATTTATTTCCAATTTGGTTTTCTAGCTACCATCCATCTCCGACAAATAAAAGACTATGAAAAGATGGAAGATCAAAATGAAAGGGCGGGAGATGAAAGTGAGTGGGGGAAGGAGGAATTGTTGCGAGAAAGAAGAGAGTTGGAAGTTTAGGGTGGGGTGAAGAGGGTAAACTGTAAAAATATACGCACTACGTAAATGATGTGTACAAAGTCTGAGCAAAATAATCCATAAGCATATCTGGCATCTAGTGATCAATTATTCACAAAACCACAGAAAACATGGCAGCCGGCAGGTACACACAGTGACAAAACTACAGAAACATGGAGTTTGTCGAGCTGCAGTGAGGCCACTGAAGGGCACAACGAGATTGAGAGAGAGAGCTCGCAGCGCCATGGCTACCGACTTCAAATCTATTCCTATTATTGGTCAGAACTCTCGTTCTTTTTTTAGAAAATTCATTTACTTTATCCAGCTGTTCTTGGCTTAAATTCAACAGTCTCTTTCTTCTCAGTGACGTAAATTGTGATGGTTAAACACTGCATATTGTCCCATGACTCCTAGCTAATCAGCATCTTATTAATTAATCAATAAATTATGTATCTTACTTTTATTGGAACACTTATTAAAGGGAAAAAGAGACATACTTTTGATCTTAAATTGGTAGAGCATGGAGTCGGTAACCCTTGTTTACTTCAAAAGAGAGGAGTGAAGTAATATGTTCTGGAAGTATGTCAAACTCTTAAAAGGTATATCTTTCGAAGTGGAAAGCATTTGATTTGATCTTTGTTGTAATTAAAGGGTAAAAATAAATTTAGAAAACAGACTATTCATTTGAAATACTTAAATTTGGGGGAGTGAGTTTGGGGGAGTTCACATGACAGCTCTACTTCCCCCCCTGCATCCCCAACGAATAACACACCAATCCTCCATTTTCGTACTCTTTGCTCTGAAGTATTCCATTTAGACTAAGGGATATAAGTTAGTTTCTGGCTCAGAGGGTCATGATGAGTGATCTCGGTCTCAAGTTTAAAGTAAAATTCTATATAAAATTATATACTACAAGTCTACAACTCTATAAGGTACTAAGGTGTTTGTTGTAATGTTTTAGGAGTGATTTTGTTAAACCAATCACGTTATAAAGAACTAATATCAAGAAGCAGTAAATTGTACTACCTCCGTCCCACTAATATTGGGAAAGGGGTGGCACGATTATTAAGAAAAATGGGTTTATGTGGTTGATATTAATTGATAAAGTAAGAATAAAGTAGAAATGATTTAGAGCCACAAAAACTTTACCAAATTTGGTATGTGACAATTTTAGTGGGATTTCCCGAAAAATGGGACAATATTAGCGGGACGGAGGAAGTAATTTTTAATTTGTGCGCATTTTGTGTATTTGTCTAGATTACCTTTTAACAAACTTACTTGTTTCCTGCTTCATTTTACGTGGAACAAATGTCTCAACTTACTCCTTTTTCAAGCAACTTAAAGTAGTATTTTATCAAACTGCTATTCAAATGCTCAACAAAAAGTTGCTTTGAATCATGTTTCCAATGCACAGAGTTTTACAACTATATAACATGAGTTCAGTTGGTTTAACGTTGTTTCAATTTAATTTTGATCTGCTAATAGTTATTGTTTATTGTTTGTAATGCACTATTTCAATATGAGACAGATGTAAGCCCACTTTTGGACAAATGGGATCATCCAAACATTTCTCAAGATCAGGGTGCGGCTGAAGTAATTAAACAGTTAGACCAGGCTTGTAGAGAAGCTGGATTCTTTTATGTGGTAATTTTTCCTCCTGCTTTTATCTTGTTCCCCTTGTTTCGATATTATGGTGTACACTTATAGCTAATGTTTTTATAGTTTCTGTTTGGCAGAGCTTTCTAACACATGCATTATTAAGTAATAACAGAACTTTGAGCTCTGTTTGATGAAATATAAATGGGCTTAAGTTAAAGTTTTATCGTAAAATATAGTTTATTTTAAAAGCTGTCCCTTATGGATACTGAAAAGCTTGGAATTTTTATTAATTCATTCACACTAACTACCCTATTCACTTAGAAAAGCAACTTTATGTATCACTCATTCAAATTTTATTTTCTTTTCCTCATCCACATTTCATTTAACCCAACATTTTATACTTATTAATCATATTGTAAAAATATTTTGAAATTCTAAAATAGGAGTACTATGTTTACCCCCTAAATAGGAGTACTAATTTTACCCCCTAAATAGGAGTAATTACTGTATCGAAAAATATTGTCAATTATGATAGAATATAATGCCTGAATACCTGGTAATGCCGGAATATGACAATAATTTACTCTTTGTTTGGGATAAAACATAGTACTCCTATTTGCGAATTCACATCGTTTTTACTCCTATTTTCGGGAAATTTCTCTTATAATAGATTTTGACTTTTAGCTTCAGTCATTGATTTTTTAACTTAAAGCTAGTTCTCTGCTATCATCTAGTGTACCAAACGTAGTCATAATATTGATACCTTGCAAATAATCTTCAAACACGTTGCTACTAGGGCTTCACATTAGTTGGACAAAAATATGATCTTAGGTCATGTAGAATAAGTTAGAGAGCATGTGAGAAAATATAATTCATTTGATATACAAAGTATTAGAGTTTGAGCCCATTATCATTAGGAATTTAGGGTTAAGCCAACTATCATTTCGGTTAGGGTTACACATATATCTGAACACTCTTCCTGAGACTGGGGCATATGCACCAAACTTGTTAGAGAGACATCATGCTTGATAAATTTTCTAGCAATGTTCAGAATTTGATTTTTTCTCAAATGAAGTGGCAATTCACTTCTATATGCATAATAGTCCAATGGTATCAGGGTTGAGGCAATTATGGCAACTTTGTTATACCCATAACTCCATAAGTATCATATGCCCTGCATTACCATTATGTAATTCTCAAAGTAAGTGAATCAATCATACAAATGTTACCATATTGTACCATACTCAACTTCGGCATAAGTTCTTGCTACCACATCTTGCTTCTTGTTCATCCAAGACACATGTCGTGGTTACTTTTCATCACATCTTTCGTAGCTTAATATCATTAGTATTATTCCCTGTATCTCAATGACGTTGTAGAAAAGTGCGTATCATCATCATTACCCTAGTGCCGCAAAGGCTCCCACCTATGGTGGGGTAAGGGGGGCGGATGTATGCAGTCTTATGTTTTGTACTACAGGACAAAGAGAATGTTTCCAGATGACTCATGGAGTCATGGTGAAAATCGCGTCGAAAATTGCATGGACTAACTGTTGTTTCATAAAAAAGAAGCACAAACAGTTTAGTGAGCCATTTGCTTTATTTCATCATATTCCCAAGCCAAAAAATAGTGTCTACCAAAAAATAGCATTTCTTGAATATTCAAAATGACATTTCTATAACTATAAATGAATCTTAAATGCTTCTATATCTTTCAAGGCAAGCAACATTTGATTTCAGAAAAATCCCCAAGGAAAAATTTCGGATATTAATGCAAAATTTGCATTGAATTTCTAAAATGAAGATTATTTTGGGACAAGAAATTTCCGCTAGTGACAAATAATTTGGGATTTGGGACGGGGGGAGTACTTTTTAATAAAAATCATGTCACTGCTTGTTTTGTAGAACTTTTGATTTTAGTGTTTTGTTATGGATGTTTTATTTTGTTATACTAATTTAGATAATCATAAAAGTGAATTGCAAGTATCTTGAGACTCGTGGCGCGAGTATGAAATAGGATGTTATTAATTGGACTGGTTTCAATTTTGGACTAGATAAGACCAGACTTCGATAATTGTAAAATTTACATAGAATAAACATCTACCCGACCAGTCCAGACCAGACCAGAAAGTTATAGTCCAACTAAAAACATCCCGAATCCAGGCATGACCTGATCCTCATATATTAATCCTTGCCCGAGTGTCTTCTTGATGCATCTTGAGATTCTAATCACATCATCTAAATGGCATTTAATTGCATGAAAATGCTTGGAATTGACTGAGCACACTGAACACAAAAGACCGATCAGGTTATGGTGAGATAGGGCAGCTTTCTGATGTGTCTATGTACTGTAATGCTCTGGTTCGGATTATGCCCCCATCTTGTAGAAATTTGACAATACGAAGCATAGGGGCATGACCGGTCTGTATCTACAGGCCTACAGGGCTCTAATCTAGCATGCCTTTATCTCAGACAAGATTCGAAATTGCGTATTGCGTAGTTGTGGCGTTTTTTTAAATATTGCATATTGCGTAAGCCTCATTGCGCAACGAGGCGTATGCCTGAGGCGTAATATATATATATATATATATATATATATATATATATATATATATATATATATATATATATATATATATAGGGGAGGGTTCTAGTGAGAACCCCTCTTACGATGAGAACCTTTTAAAACGAGATCTTTTAATCTCAACCTTTCATTTATTGCAATCATTGGTTATGATTCACATGGGGTCATATTCATAATTACCCCAAATTCAAATGAGGCCTTTTTGCAATTAATCCTAAAAATTTACAAAATGCCACCTTGTCATTATTAGCCATTGATTATAGTAATTAATGATGGAGATTAAAAGTTCTTATTTTAAAAGGGGTTCTCATTTTAAGAGGGGTTCTCATAAAACCCTCCCCTATATATATAAACTGTTACTGACCAATTCTATGGCCGTACATATGAACGAAGAAAGCAGTCTGGGGCAGAAAAGATTAATGACCAACGTAGCTAAGAGAAAAGAAGAGAAAAGAAATAAAAAGGCAGTTAGAGTCATATTAATATTAGTATTTCATTAGTCCTACTTTAATTAGTATTCCTTTATTTAAGTTGTATTAGTATTAGTCCTGCTTTAGTATTTGTATTCCTTTATTTAAGTTGTATTAGTCCTACTTTAGTTAGAGTCATATTAATATTAGTATTTAATTAGTCCTACTTTAATTAGTATCCCTTTATCTATTTAAGGGGATCCCAGCTACTTTAATAACAGCTTTTTGGTTAATTAATCTTGAGATCTCTTGACTAGGTCGGAGATCGATAATTATCTATTAAGCCTCTATTTTCAGTTCATCTATTCCTTGTCAATTAAAAATAGCTCCAGGAACATCATCCTTAACCTCTGGTCAATCCCGTTCACGTCCTTGGACGAGGTCTCTTACTCACGCACTTAACAACTTGGTATCAGCTTCTGGGACGATGGGGACCGAGACTCCTACTGCAGATTCACTAAAAACCATGATTGAGAGTATTGATCACCAGCAACTGGCTGTGGAACAAACCTTGGCAGAGCTGCAGACCGCTATGGCGCAACTGGCAACCCTTCCGGCCAGCATGGAGACACTCGCTTCAACGGTGCAGAAATTAACCGGCGATTCCTCATCCAGCTCTTCCCAGTTCGACCGCAGGAGAGAGGCAGACCATTCGCGCCGTGATACTGAAGATTCTTTATTTCCCAGGTTCTCAAAAATTGAATTCCCACAGTACGATGGGAAAAGTGATCCCCTCCTGGTTAAAACGCGGTGAGAGCTTTTTTATTCAGCAACGCACACCTGCTCCAGCTAGGGTGGGTTTGGCGACTTTCCACATGCTCGGGACCGCACAACTGTGGGCTATTCTCAGACAATTACAAACAATGATCTCAGAGCATATTCTGTGCATACTTCCTCTGGAAAATGACTACAAATATCAGATTGAACTACTTTAATACCAAGTTCGAAAATTGCTGAATAGTTTGAATATGGACCGTAATCATAGACAGTATCATCCACATAAACCATGAGCTGGATACATTTCCCATTTTGGGACTCTGTAGAAAGCCGAATACCCTAGACCACTATAGATCATGAATCTCACATATGAGTATATTACAAAACCAAACTAGTAGAACCAGGCCAACAGAGACCGACACGTAAGATAAATAGAGCGCCTGATATTACATATTAAACCAGACTCCTTCCATAGCCAAATACCCTGATTGTTGTTCCATATAAACTTCTTGATGAAGATCAGAAACACTTCCCGGCATGTAGTCGGCAGTATAAGGTGTGATGAATAAACATTCTCCTGCATTTTCACTAGATAATACAGGACTAGGCGCGTCAAATTGCTATAAACTATTAGGACATATAAGACACACTCTAATTAGCCATTTGATACTCTTCATGGAGTTACTTTCTAGGTAATCACTTTCCTTCTCCAAGAGCAAAATAATTTCATTTGCTACTCACTGTTTTAGCTCAGATGAGATACCTAACAGTATAATATTTTTCCTCCCAATTACTTTCCTTGGAAAAGTATTCATTTCCCTCGTATCAAATTCCTCCTAAGATAAAGCGGGAAAAGGGATAGCTCAACCATCTCTGCGACATTGGAGGTAGACTCATTTGGAGGAGTAATTTTGGATAAACACATGAACAAGACATATGAGAAAAAAGAGATGGACTTCCTGAGATGTGGTTGGAGGTTCAAGCGTCCAAAATCCGGTACTGTAGTAGACATGCAAGCCATAGATGGGGTACTTAAATACATTATAACAATCGCTTTAGTCTATAGGTGCCATGAGGATGAACAGAATAATAGGGAAAATAATCTGTCCACCTAAGTCTATAGAATCTAGATTTAACTGCCAGTCAACTGTCACTAAAAAATAATTGGACAAAATCACCTGAGTCTCCCAGGGTAGACAAGTCTACTGGTTCAAGTGGTAGGCTGGATATAGCATCAGATAAAGGGAGTCGATAAGGAGATTTGAGCACAAATCAATGAACCGTGAACCGGGTGCACTTTGTGGTTTCTAGTGAGCGGTCACAAAGATGATACGTGAGATGCGCCAGAGATGAAAAGTCAGCCGCAAAGTACCATTCTACCTAGTTAACTGCGGGAAAAACTATGCTGGAATCAAGAACGTCCTAGGAAAGAGGTTACAGTACAATGTAGAATATTACACAAAACTTCTTAATCTATATATCTAAATAGAAGCCCCCTTTTATAGTAGAGGATACACAACATGGGGTAAGCCCACTATCATTAGGGTTACTCCTATACATCTCAACTTGTCATTTATTGAGATATATAACTTGCATATGTCTATTTTACAGGTCCTAAATCTGTGTGAAAACAAAACAGGTCCTTAATTTATGTTGATCATATCACCACTTTATGTTTATGGGGTAAAATTGATATCGATATGTAGCCTCTCAATATGCTTATTGTGGTTTGCCAAATGTTATTGGACTCAGAATGCCCCCTAGAAAAAACAATTTTGTTCTCATTTGATCCCTTTGTTTTTCTGTTTCCGTTGTACTACCCACACTAAAATTGATTTAATTTCATATAACACTAAATTGATACATCCTATACTAGTTTAGGGCTTGTATGACTTGCCAGCCACTATTTTGTTTTTAATGCTATACTGCTTTGTCACTGTATTGCCAAACACTATACTACTTTTTTGTGGAACCTTAAACGTCTTCAAATTACTTTAAACAGAATCACATCCAAATGATCCCTAATATACTTGTCTGTTAATAAACAAGGATCAGGGACTTATTGCTGTAGTTTCTCAACAGTGCTTCCTGGTTATATGATCCATATATTTTCTTTTCATGTGCTTGCAGAAGGGCCATGGCATTCCTGATTCTCTTATGCAAGAAATTAGACATATATCACATGTTTTCTTTGATCAACCACATGACACAAAACTCAAGATTAAGCTCTCTGCAGCAACCGGATACAGGTTATTCTCATCATCTCTCTTTGATGTTGAAGCATGCAAGTTATTCCTGTTGTCCTCACTACCAAATTGGTTTTATAATGCTTTTGCAGAGGCTATCAGTGGGTTGGACAAAATATAACCAAAGGCGTGCCTGACATGCAAGAAGCCATTGATGTATGTTTTGTTAAGTACTTTCCTGTCATCAGCATCATTATGAATACCTTAATCCCAAGCAGTTAAGGGCAGTGGCATTAAATTTATAGTGTTAATTAATTGTGAAATTATTTAACACTATAAATTCATGCCAAAAGGCATAGCTTCATGTTTTAGATTAGATGACCTTCCTGTCACAACCTCATAAGAGGGAATAATGAGATGAAAATTTTGAAGCCATAATCATCATACATTATTCCCTTTATGTATGGAATATATTATGAGGTGCCAAGATATTTGCTATTGCCTTGTCCATGATTGACAATACAAAAGGAACATCCAAATCATGGAACATGATTGCAAGTCTGCAAGTGCTTTCTTCTCCACTCTTATTTTCCCTTTTCTGGTTGGAAAATGGGTCCTTCCAAGAGCCTCATTTTTTTATTTTGGTTTAAATAATTTCATTTTTGTCTTGGGCCTTATCTGCATTGTTCATATTTTCAGTGTCTGGCTCAACATACATTTGTTGAAATGTTGATATTATATACATAAGCTGTGTAAAAGTGGGGCCACACATGCTAATGTTCTCAAAGATGGTTATGTTGCTAATTTATACTTCCTCTATCCCTGAAAGATTTGCCAATTTTGATTCACATGTAGATTTAGAAAATGAAAATTTTGTGGTTGAGATTTATCTAGAAGAGAAAAATGATATGGACCACAATTTATTTCTTAGAGGTACAAGTTTTTTGGGACAACTAAATCAGGAAAGTTGGTAAACCTTTTGGGGTGGAGGAAGTATGCACTTGTCAAGAGTCCTTATACTCTGGAAGTCATAATTAAAATTATTGTCAGTGTCTTCTGTAGTTCCCAGAACTAATTTGTTTTGCTGATCATTAATATTTTTCTTTTTCAAATTTTATGCTTTGGTATAGTGCTACAAAGAAGTGAAAGATGGAATGTACGGAGGTCTTGGAGAAGTTATGAAAGGATCTAACAAATGGTATGCCCACACGATAATTACTCCATTGAGTCGGTCCTATGCATGATCGCTTATTTATAGGAAAAAGTCAATTTTGATATTCTCCCTTAATTTTGAGAGAGACATGACATGGATTTTAAATGGATATAGTTAAGTATCTTGGACGCAGATTAGGACTGAAGTGCCATTTTTGTCGCACCTTTTTGTCTGTTTCCTGTTGAACCTGTGAATGAAAGTAGCGTAGTACTACGTCTACATTTCTTCTTTATTTCTCCTGTAAGTCTGATAGAAGGAGAGAGGACAAAAGAGGAAGAAAACCACATTTATGCTCTCCATTCTGCAGGCCTGGTAACCCCCCAGATTTTGCAAGACTGATGGAGGAATACATCAACTTTTGTACAGGTGACTTAATTTTTGCGATTTGTTTATTCCTTGATGCTAGACTGGGGCAAGTGGGTCAGCTGACCATCCTGACCTCACTAAACTGTTTTTGGGCCTGTAAATCAAGTAGAGCCTGCCACAGTCCTGGCTAGTTACGGTGGCCTGGTCTGCCTGGATATTCTACCATTATACCTATAGTCCTATAAGCCCTTGGCACATGGCAATTTCCATTCGCAGGCATGAAGTTCTTTTCCTGTCATTGTATATTTTATAATGAAAGTTTTAATTGCTGGTTAGGACTTTGAAGGTCGACAGTTGACTGTTACGACTATTAAGATATGTTAAAAATAGGGAATCAGATTTAAAAAACCAAAGAATCAGAGTTTAATTTTTTTAGTGTAGTACTAACAGTAGTTTAAGCAATTTGAAAAAGGAAAAGTTATACGAAGTACTAAAGATAGGCAATACCTGGTAACCTGGTTTTGTGGGGGAGGGGAAGGGGATAAAGACCACTCCAACAGGGCAATGTCAGTTACAAATGGTGGCGTTGGAAAGCACTAGCAGTGGCTGCTAGCTTGCCACTGAAATTAAATTACTGAACAAAGTGGTCATAATTTACTAAACCCTGCCCCCTACCTTCAAGTTATAAATATACATCCTGTTGATAACAAATACCTAATGTTACTGTGCTTAAACATTCCCAGAATCATATAGAGGAGTTTGATCATGATTTTCAAATCATAAAGTTCACACATTATTAAGTAAATGTAGTGAATTAAAAATTCACTGCTAATATATAGTTCTGGCAGACATTCATCATAAACATTCACCATGCACGTTGGTGTAAAATGCGGTACTAATGTATAAATCCCGCAGTCCCTCACACACTGACACACATGCTATTGCAATGTTAAATGTATTTTCTTTTGTAACACAGGTCTATCAAGAAAGATAATGAGGGGAATTGCTCTAGCATTGGGTGGATCAGTCGATGAAATTGAAAGGGAAAGAGCTGGAGACCCATTTTGGGTTCTACGCATTATAGGTTATCCTGGGGCATCTTCCTCGAGTGGCCAGGATGTACAAAAAAATGACATTGGATGGTAATAGCTCCATACTCATCCATTTCTTTTATTTAATTTTTTTCCTTGATAACCTTCATTACTCGTAGTAAGTAATCATCTTCTATCATTACTTTTTTGAACATGGAATAAACTAGCGGGGCTCATACAGACTATGGTAATATTTCTGCTCACCTGTTCATCAGGCATTATCATAAAAGATTTTACTACTCTACAGTAAATTACCTTTTTTTTATTTTGGGTCATACAGGACTATTAACACTAGTTAATCAGGATGATGATATTACTGCCCTTCAGGTATTTTAACTGTCTGAGAGTTACTTTAGATATGCTATATGACTTGCCAATTGCTATTAAGTATATGTTTTTGGTCCCTTAAGGATATACATTGCATCTATGTCATGAATGTTATCCCTATGTAAAATTATAGTCATTTCTTATTTTACGGCAAAGAGTTGCTTGGATTGCTAAAATGCGGGAGATATTTTCGGTTTTCTGGGAATACGTAAAATGTATTTTTGGAATCCAAAAAGTGGTTTTTATTTTTTTTGAAAACATGCTACACACTTGTATACCTAGTGGTGTAGTTTTTTTAAGGAAAATTTTTAGTGGGATGTTGAGGTATTTCTTTTTAGTGGAATCCAGGCTACATACTTATATTTAGATAGGTTAGTTACATCTTTTTGTAAATATATGAAAACACAAATAATTCAATAAGAATGTGTTAGTGGGATAAATAATAAATTATATGAATTATAATTATTTTGGTACCAGAAAACGATGATGTTTTATCCAAAAAGTTAAAATTAACTGATTTAATTTATAGTTTAAGAAGTTTTATGAGTTCGATTGAATGGGATAATTTGTGCAAAAATAAATAAATTTAGTGATTTTTATCGTCGAAAAGATGTGTATTATTTTATTAAATAAGAAATAATCATTTGTTAGGTTAGTGGTTGTATTACTGAATATACATATTTAATAATATTGTATTATGAAGTTATTCGAATGTTACCACGAAAATAAATAATATAAATATTTCATTACTCATTTCTTCTTGAAAAACATGACAAAGAAATACATTTTTTATACATTGAAAAGAGTTTCAAAATACATATAAAATTTTACTCTTGTGCTCTCCTCCTCAAACGCATATTCATTTCATTGTCGGGATGCCGCTCTAATATTATGCATACATGCCGATTTCGTTTGACAACACAACTCATAATGCGTTCCAAAACCCAAGACCAACTACTCGTGTTCTCAATTTCTACGACTGTGTAGGCGAGAGAGAGAATCTCAGGAGATGACCCTTGAACTTTCGGTACAAGTGAGTACCTTCAACAGATATTACACGAAGACAATGTTGGAACTTTGAACTCATGAATGGAAGCTTTACAAGCCCAAAACGCACGACAAAGTTCATACTTACCATTGTTATCGGTTGAATTTGTTTGAAAATCTACCATTGATCATGGATTTGAATTTCTTATTGCCTGCAATAGATTGGGTAAGTCATTGTAGGCCACCTCCCACTTTCCGAACCTTCGCTCGAGGAAGTATACATCCATATCATGCCTTTTTGTACCCGACATTGATATTGAATTTCTCGTATATGTCCTGTATCATTAGTTTAATGTTGTAGTCCAGATCAATATGCACTTTTGTAGCAATTGCGCTCGCTATGATCTTGCTCATCAACAGTCTTTCATCACGTGCTCTTAAACAATCCGGTCTGCAGTTGTGAAGTGGTTGATTTTTTTTCACCGTTTGTGGAAGGTAAAAAAAATCAACCACTACACAACTGCATAACGGATTATTCAAGAGCTCGTGATGAAAGACTCTTGACGAGCAAGATCATAGCGAGCGCAATTGCTACAAAAGTGCATATTGATCTGGACTACAACATTAAACTAGTGATACAAGACATATACGAGAAATTAAATATCAATGTCGAGTACAAAAAGGCGAGGTATGGATGTTTACTTGCCCTAGAGCATAGATTCAACAAGGAGGCGGCCTAAAATGATTTACGCAACCTGTTGCAGGCAATAAGAAATTAAAATCTTGGATCAGTGGTAGATTTCAAACAAATCCAACTGATAACACTAGTACATATGAATCCTGCCTTCCATTTTGGGCTTTCAAAGCTTCCATTGATGGGTTCCAAAAGTGTTTGCTCGTAGTATTTTTTGACAGTACTCACTTGTACGGAAAGTTCGAGGGTCGTCTTCTGGTTGCGGTCGCCATGAATGCTAACCGTGAGATTTTCTCTCGCCTACGCAGTCGTAGAATGCGAGAGCACCGGTAGTTGGCCGTGATTTTTGGAACGCGTAATGAGTTGTGTTGTCAGACGAAATCGACATGTATGCATAATATCATATGGGCATCCCGACAATGAAATGAATTTGCGTTCGAGGAAAGCACAATAGTAAAATTTTATATGTACTTTGTAACTCTTTTCAATATATAAAAACTTGTATTTCTTTGTCATGTCATTTTTCAAGAAGAATGAGTAATGAAATATTTTTATTTTTTATTTTTGTGGCAACATTCAAATAACTTCATAATACAATATCTTTAAATATGTATATCCAGTAATACAATCACTCTTACCATATTCTAGGTGGGCCTTTGCGGCACTGGGCTAATGATGAGGATTCAATCTCTAACCTAACAATTTATTATTTCTTATTCAATAAAATAGTACATATCTTTCCAACTATAAATATATTTATTTTTGCACATATTATCTCATTCAATCAAACACACAGAACTTCTTAAACTATAAATTAAATCAATTAATATGTACTTCTAGAAAAAAATCCTATTGTGATTTGGTTCCAAAATAATTATAATTCATATACTCTATTATTTATCCCCACCAACAAATTCTTATTGAATTATTTGTCTTTTCCTATTTACAAAAAGAATTAAACTATCTAAGAAATAAATATGTAACATGTATTTTACTAAAAAGAAATAACTCAACATCCCACTAACAATTTCCCTTTTAAAAAACTATGCTAATAGCCTATAAGGTATACAAGTGGGTAGTATGTTTTTTAAATAATAAAGGTATACAAGTGGGTAGCATGTTTTTTAAATAATAAAAGACCACTTTTCGGGTTCCACGAAACAGATTTTCTTTGTTTCTTAGATTTCCCGTCCAGACCTAAAATTTTCGGATTTCAGAAACACGTTTTACGTATTCTCAGAAAATGAGAAGTATCTCTTCCATTTTGGCAATTCATGCAATTCTTTCCCGTAAAATAAGAAATGACCCAAAATTATAGCCGCTTTTCTGGATTGGTTGTTATTGTGATGAGCATTTGTAGGTAAAAACTCGATCTGGTGAGTGGATATCAGCCCCACCAATCCCTGGCACATTTGTATGCAATATTGGCGATATGCTACAGGTATTTTAGTGTCTCTCGTTTTCTCCTTTAATTTCAACTCCTTGTATAGTTCGGTAAGACCTTCAAGTTCTGGAAAATCTGCAGATCTTGTCAAATGGACTGTATGAATCCACCTTGCACCGAGTCATGAATAAGTCTCTAAAATACCGTGTTTCTGTGGCCTACTTTTATGAGGTGAGCTACCATCATTTTAACTATGGTTATGACGAAATATTCATTAGCATTTCATATACTTGAATTTCCATATACAGCCAAACTTTGATGCATTAATAGAGCCACTGGAAGTGTGTAAGCAGCAGACTGGTGGGTTGAGAAACTTTGAAGGAGCTGTTTATGGAAAGCATTTAGTTGGTAAAGTCACAACCAACTTTGTGGCGCAATTTTAGTTTTGTTGGTACTTGTAATGGAGATGGGTGCTCTGAAAGCTGAGTACTTGTAATGGAGATGGGCTCTCTGAAGTCTGAAATTTGAGTTGGACTAGTTTATTGTCAAGCTTCGTACACTACCTACTTGGTGATGCATTAATTGAATGATAACTGGCGATCCTTTGGATTTTATCCTATGAATTAAGGATTAAGATATGAAACTTATCAATTTAAGGCATGGTGAATGATTGAAAAGTGAAAACTATCAACTCAAGGTTTAAAATATTTCTCCCTTCTTCAAGACCGTGCAAGATGCACTTTTCTTTTTGTTGATAGTTGGTAGTTGGTACCATCAAAAAAATATGAATATTTTCTTATACTACGTATTACATATTACTAACTTTCTACTTTTTCACTCTATCATTTTATCTATCATTTCATACTTTACTTTTGGTGGATCTATTTTACTCTTTCTTATTTTTTGGAGGTTAGAGTTATAAAAGGATCACTTTATTCTTTAATGTCTTAAAATACACATCAGATCCATATTTTTTTTACATCAAGGGACGGAGGGGAGGTAGTATGAATTTGGTTTTATTTTTCAAAAGTATTTTCAGTAAAACCTTCCCTAAACTCAATATGTTACCTGTGAAGGAATATTGATTAAAACGTAACACAAGAATGATTAAAAGGGAAATTTAACGTTAACCTCATGGCTTGGGCACTGGAGTATTACATTCTTATAGAGGCACATGTTTCATTTGTTTCAATTCTGTTATCATAGAGCAATAAGATGCTCTTAACGCTGTTAGAAATCGTCAGATGAAGACAATGAATAGTAACTCCTATTTTCAAAAAATTAAAAGAAAAATACTAGAGGTGCGTCTAGTCAAAATGACCTCCAGAACATCTTTCTTTCTTGTTTCCCGCCATCATTGTTGCTAGAAAGTCAACCATAAAAGTGATATTAGCGAATTCCTTTTTAAAAAGTAATGCAAACAGAGCCGAAAAGGCCAAAGAGGTCGGGAGATGGTTTGGAGGTCTCCTTGATGAGACACACAACTCAATATTTTTCTTTTAATTTTTAAGTCACTTTTAAAAATCAAAGTTATTGTTCATCATCTTCATCTAACAATTTCTAATGGTGTTAGATGACATGCTCCTCGTGCGATAACGGAATTGAAGCACATGCAATCTTTGTTAAAAAATGAAACACATGCTCATATCTGAAAATGGATCAAACCACAAGTTTTATCTTACTTTTCCCTTCTTTTAGAACATGTTACCTTCCCTTACTGCTGTATTGTATTCTATATATACATGCGAGAATGAAAAGATAAGCCCATTGTATAAATATTCTTCAAATTATCAAATTAGAATGAATATACTTTTGTATAGGAGAGCATTTTACCAATTTACCCTTATACCTATATGTAAATATATCCCTCAACTATTTGTACATAAAGCGGTATATTTGTTTTAATTTTACGATTTTATGTTTAATTGTTCCAAATCATTTGGAGAGAGTATATTTGCATTCCCCCAATTGGAAATAATTCTTGCAAATTCGGTGAGGTTTCTCATAAACATCAAACATGGATGAACTAAAAAATAAGTACGTTTAAAGCATTATTTCTTAGTCAAATTTGTTAAATAAAAATTCTAAAAGTTCCCAACTAAGAACTACATATTGAAAAAAAAAGCATTTATTATTTTAGATGTTTTTGTGCCGATTTAAACTTAATACAGTTGTTAGAACAACAACGATTCCTTATATATATATATACTTCTAATAAATCCTGTTTCCTTTATAAGTATTTTAATAGTCAGGTAGCTGAAGAGAGTGAATTATTTTGATTTTGAAGAAAATATCAGTAAATTGGAAAAACATGCAATAATGGGACTTTTTGACAATCCTCTATATTTACAAGACTGTATATATATGCATTTCATTTATTCATAAACAATTTAGAATTTCGAAAGTATGTGTTTTTATGGTGGGGAGAATGCAATTAAAAGTGGTAAATGTCTTGTTATTAGATACTCAATACGAAGTAATTAAAAATGGTAAGTACTTAAAACAAGTAAGCGGTCCAGCTCAGTCACTCTCATACGAGAGGTTTTGGGTCTAAAACTTCATGTAGGTAGTTTCAGTTCTGTTTACCTCAGCCCCTCCAACCCCTACCTCGGGTTAAAAAAATGAAGTACTTTAAACACAATGAGCATTTAAATTTGCAAAAGTTGATGAAGTAAATTATGTAAACATGCAAAACAAGAGTAAGTGTCTTTAATTAAAAAAATGTACTTCCTCCGTTCTTTTTAAATTGTAACGGTCCACTTTTCACGTTTGCCAACGCATAAGTGTGACCATTAATATTTTTCATTCCTTATTGGTAAAAATTAAAAATTCAGATTTTGAAAATTTAAAACGAGTGGAATTTAAAATTATTTTTTAAAAATTTAATTTATAATACATTAATAAATAAAATATATTCAAGTAGAATATGTGAATAGTAAAAAAGTCCAAAGTTGCAATTAAAAGAGAACGGAGGTAGTACTCCGTATGATCAAAACGTTTTGATGGGAGAAAAATGTCTTTTTAGGGTAGGCATGCCAAAAAAATCGACCCGCAATGACCTGCCTTGGCCCGAGACATTTGGGGCGGGTCCGGCCTGCCCCGTCTTGCAATGGGGCAGGTCCGCGCCCCTATACAATGGGCGGGTCCGGGTATTAGTATTGACCCGTGCTGCCCCGCCCCCACCCGCCCCGCTCAATATACAAGGACACATACTTTTTTAAATCATACTACAAATATACTTCTTTATACATATGTGCACATATAATAAATCATAAATTCTTTGATCTTATAATATATTACTCCCTACGTCCCGGAAAATTAGTCCCACTTTGACTTGGACCGGAGTTTAAGAAAGTGAGAATAAAGTGAAAATGTGTGGTTGTGGTTGAGTAAGAAAAAGGTAAATGAATGTTAGCCACACAAAACTTTCCAAAAGGGAAAATGGGAACAATTTTTTGGGACGGCCCAAAAAGGAAAATGGGACTTATTTTATGGGACGGAGGGAGTAATATTTATATTTGAATGAGATGAATGATGAATTATCAATGTCTTATATAACATTTTAATTTATATATTCTAGTAGGGAAAATTACATCACATATATGGTCCTTCAGTTATCCACGAAATTAAAATCTTAGACCTGTATTTCTGAGATTGTAAATGTCACCTCTCAATTGTCCAAATTGATGTAAATGTGGTCTTTTAAGTGGTGAAATATACTCTCGCCCACATTGTATATTTCACCCCTCAAAAGCACTACATTTACACCATTTTGGACAATTGAGGGGTGACATTTACAATCTCAGAAATATGAAATTTTAATTTTGTGTATAACTGAGGGACCATATATGCGATTTTCTCATTCTTGTATTAATATAAATAGATTGATTATTCAAGTCTAAGTGCTTTTTTCTTAATTTTTGAAATTTTTAGCGCATTTTGACTTTGATTTAATATACAAAGTATAATTTTTTAATAATTATTTACAGATAAACTTTATGTAGATTCAAGTGGTAACAACTTCACAGTTCACACAAATTGAAACGCATATTAGCTAATAAGGTTATGGCGGGACGGGGCATGGGTCAACAAGTTTGGACCCGTGCGGATCACGGGGCAGGGCGGGTCCGGATCTTGTAGTACCCGCCCCGCCCCGACCCATTGCCATGTCTATATTAGGGTAATGAAGGAGAGCCGCCGCTAGGCAACTGCCAGCCGTCGCCAGACCTCTTCCTAATTTGCCATTGCTACGGACAGCTCCGCCGAGCAGTCTCCACTATACCCTTAGTGGGATTAGTAAACACTAGACACATTAAGCCTAAACCCTAAGGGAATGATATACTCTAATTCTCTAAACCCTAGCTCTAAAATGTAACGAGTAAAAAGTGATGGGAGCTAGCTCGAGAATTTAAAATATGTACCCCTATTTTGACACTTTTATACGTTATTTTTTATACATAATAATATAGGAGTATAATTTACTCCCATTTTGGGATAATTTCATTATTCAAATAATCAAATTATACTTCCTACTTTATTGTATAGCTTCGGATCCATAGCCAGATAGAAACCACCCCCCTGCAAGTGTCATATATGCAGCCACCACCACGATGCTAAACCTAAACCACCTTAAGGAAAAGTCTTCATCAATAACAACTAACTTATAACCCAGAAAAGTCTTGATAAAGCCCACCCAGTCCTAGGCTCCTAGCTATATATGCTATGAAACATGGTAGCTAGGTTTTAAAAGTAATTCTTTCATAGTTAGTCAAACATCATAAACCCAAAATCAAATGGGATGGAAGGAGTATATAGTATACAAACAAATACAAAGAACTTAAAGAAGACAGTAGATTATAGAAATGATGATGATGATGTTCTTGCATACTTCGTATGTCCGTAGGGCTTCAGCAAAATCTTGGAGGAAAGATGAGAAGATGAATAATGGCAAACAAACATTGATAAGAAGATATGATCACGTACTTGTATGATGCATGAATGTCAACTATAAGCTCGATCACCATGCAGATCGATTCACATATGTAATGCGAAGTATATATATCAATGGTGCCTGTGTACACTATTGAGGGCTTTATAAGTTCTTGAGGACTTCCTCTTGGACTTGCGGGGACGAAGACGATGATCGGCCACCGCCTCTTCCGCCACCATTTTCGGAACTTCAACGATCTCACAAGGCACTTGCAGCATGGATCTCGGGTCGGGGCATTTCCTGGGCTGCACAAAGAACCTCTTACACTCCTCTGCACTTCTCTGGTTCGGAAGATCCAAAATGCAGTTGTTCTGTATATCAAGAACCTTCTTCTCCAGCAACAGCCTGCATTCTGGTCCGATCTGTGTGAAGTAGTTCCCGCTCAGGGTCAGCTCCTCCAGACCCTTCACCTTGCACAGAGATTCTGGAACCGTCCCATAAAGCTCATTGCTTTTCAGGTTGAGAATCTTCAGATTCTTGAGACATCCCAAGGATTGGGGGAGTGGGCCCGTCAACGTGTTGATACTGGCGTCAAAGACGCTCACGTTTTTCAGCAGCCCAATTTCGTAGGGAAGACAGCCCGACAGCTTATTGTTCAAAAAAAGAACCTCGGTTAAGGTTTCCGCCGCATTTCCTATGCTCTTCGGGATCGGGCCGGTGAGTTTGTTGTTGGCCAGGGACAGGAAGAAAGCCGGCGTCTTCCCGAGGGTCTCCGGGATCGAACCGGTGAACCCATTGTTGTTCAGAAACAGAGCATCTAGGTCCAACGTGAAGACCCTGTCGGGTATGGGGCCCACCAGCGCGTTGTACCGGAGATCCAAGAATGTTAAGTTGGTGGCTTCAAGAAGGGCGGCGGGGAACTCTCCGGCGAGCTTGTTGTTGCTCAAGTCGAGCTCGAACAGGGTGGGTAGGGCGGCGGTAGAAACGGCAAGCGGAGATTCACCTGCGGTGAAATTGTTGGAGTTGACATGGATGACGGCCAAGTCCGGCAGAGAGTCGATGAAGCCATTCAGAGAGAGGTGGGTCCCGTCTAGGTTGAAGCCGTTGAAGTTAATCCCGCCGACTCTCAGCCGTGTACTGCCGTCGGGGGAGTAACAATGGAACCCTTTGTAGGCCTCTGAGTTGAAACAGAGCTCGTCTCCGGTCCAGGTTTTGGTGAACCCGTTCGGGTCATTTGTGATTAACTGCTTGAATTGGGATATGGCTGTGATGGACTTTCTGATGACGGGATCCATCGGCGGCAAAACACAGCCGCATTTAGCATTATATGTAGAGGTAGGGGTTTCCGATGGTCCTCCGTCGCCAAGAGTGACTTCGGATGAGGATTGTGCTGGTGCTGAAGGAGAAGTCGCCGAAGAAGAAGTGACTTGATGAAGGAGAGCAAGAAAGGAGAAGAGAACTATGAAGAAAAATAGATAAGATGATGAAGATTCTGCAAATGAGAAGTATTTGCACGCCATTCTTGTGTCTTGTATTTACCTCCTGCCTAGCTCAAGTTTTTTATCCTGAGCGCAGGTTGCATAGAGTGGAGGACCAATGCATTTATAGGAGACTTTTCATTTAGGGAAAGGTGACAAAGGTACCATTTTTTAATGATAGATTATACTATCGTACCTTTGTCCACATGGACCAATGAGAATGTAACAGTTTAATTATTTAAATCTAAATTAAAAATGATAAAGTGGTGTGGTCCAATCAAATTAATAATAGGTACGGTACCCCATTTTTTAGAAAGGTACTGAAGTTGTCACCTTTTTTAATATGTTCTCAAAAAAATGGGGTATCATAATTGATCCATTTAACAAATGTGTGCCACTTTAGAGAATGCACAATGTAAGAGTTGAAGTAATGTCATGATAATTCCCAAAATGTGTTGGGACATTATTGTTACACTAACAAATATAGAGTATGGAGTAATAGAAAGAAGAGGCATGATGATATTCATAATTCATACAAGCCGTATGTCACCATGATGTATGCTGGACTTTAGTAAAGATACCGGAGTGACTCGGTACTTGCAAAGGCTTTACATATTTTATATAGTAACATCTAGTCGTAGTTGCCATAAATTGAACTTGAAACTTACTCTTATAACACCCCTTATCTACTAGCTAATCGAGCTACACCCACCGACATATTAAGGAAAAAAGAAGACAATTTTTATAGTGTCCTTCTTAGTTCTCATTGTATCATACATTGGCCGCATGACCAATCAATCGGAAACATGTAAAGTTTTAATCATACTCCGTATCATATAGAGGTAAGTTCGATCTCTTAAGTTAATAGTCTCTTGATCTCTTATATAACTCAAAGTTGTTATATTAATTGTTTTAGTCCTATTTAGGGAATTAACTCAAGTTGTAACATATTTTCCTGTTAAGCAATTATGATAACATTTGGACTTGTTTCGGTTTCATACCATACATAGACAATAGTAAAATACACTTAAAATGTACTTATACCATAGTAGACCATGCCAAACGTGAACAAAACAAATTATATTAGACTAGACATACAAAATCAAATAAGGTCAGAAATCAACAATCAAAATAAAAGCTACCCCTTCATCCTGTATACTGTTAATTTATTCTTATTTTAGCAATTTAATATCAATCGCACTAATTCACTTTTATTAGAGTGCACCAGAAGCTCATATTCTAGTGGGAGGGAGATGGTATATGGAAAATCCAGACACATTTTTTCATTTCTACCCAAACCTCGCACACATTTTTGTTGTTATTATTGAAAAGTCAATCTTGGTAAAATTATACGGATTATTAGGGAATAAAGGAGTTTGAAGTTTGAAGTGATAGATAATTTGATCCTTTGAATGGAATTGTTTGTAGCTGCCAGCCACATGTCACTGTCTATACTATGCATGCCCATGCCCACCAATTAATAATGTGAAGTACAATTTTAATGAGGCCGTTGGAGATGCTTTTGCTGCACTTATTATATGCATGTTACGGAGTATGTTATTAGTTGGTTGGAGTACTATACGCCTTCTACGCTGTGTGATGTCGATCATTTTGGTTCGGATCTTACTTTTCATTTTGCATTAATATCTTTTTGACTAAATCAATTTAAACTAATTAACAGTGGTGAAATGTGACACCATTGTTTTCTTTAAGGCCTTTTGCCTTCAATATTTACAAACTAAAACCATTTTCCAAAAATGTAACCATTTTTACAAAAGGATAAAAAAGTAAATAGGAAGGTTATATATTTAAAAAAAGTGATGTCACTGTCAAATTATCTTGTAACTGTCAAATTTTTATGTCACTGTCAATTTATCTTGTCATTGTCATATGTCATTATCAGATTTTTATGTCACTTTTTGAATGTCACTGTCGCTTTTTTATGTCACTATCAGGTGACTTTTTCGGGCAAGATAGTGACCACTTGATGGATCACCGGACGGGAGAGAACTGATCGGAAAGTACATGTAGATAATCCGGCAGATTAACAGTATGAGAGTATAAGCTGCGATCCCTTTCCACAAGCTGGAAGGTGATATTCATACTAAAATAGGCAATGCTTGGTGCCCAAGTAAAAAGATGCTGATTTAATAAGAAGAGGACACATGTCCAATCTATTCTAACAAACTAACAGTCTAAGTCGATGGAGAGCAGCCACATGTAAAGGTGATTGGAGAGATAGTCTTGGACAACTGTCTGATTAGAGCTACGTCTAACAAACTGCTACCAGAATACCCGTGTGGTTACGCGTGTGCAAACTGCGTCTAACAAATTGAAACTAAAGGCCAACATGGGCCTCTTCCAACATTTGTTCCAAATCGGTCTCAACAGCTCGCTGGAGAATCAGGGGTACGTTGCAATTTCTCAGCGCTCTCGCAGTAGTGGATTCTACCATACTCTGTCGTCGCACCATGGGTGGAAGCACAAATTTATGTTAGTTTGCATTGACAGGAGAGTGGGGTTTCCCTTTACTGCCCCCGGTGCGCTCTCGTTCAACAGGCACGATGTTGGTGCCTTAGGTGAGTTTGACGACGATGTTGACACCTATGTCAAGTATGGCGATTTGGATATAAAGGTTTCTTGCGCGAGGAGAAGTTGAAGGACATGGGCTTCATTTTCTTCACTGAGGCTCCCACTGAAGACCAAGGGACTGCTAGATGTGACGAACCTCAGGGTGACGTGCAGGCTGCTGCCCAGGAAGAGGCTGATATTGCCGCAGCTATCGCGGCGTCCGTGGCCATGGAGCAGGGTTCAGATGATGCTGACCTTGCCGCTGCTCTCGCAGCGTCTGTGGCCATGCAACAGGGTTCAGGGGGAACAGTTGGGCCTACTGCTTCTGAGGTGTTGGGACCACAGTCCTCAGGTGAGGAGAGGGCATTTTCCCATGTGTCCCCTTCTAGGTATGAGTCCTCCGAGGATGAGGAGCCCGTGTTGGAGAGGCGGCGGCGGCAGAAGGAGGTGTCCTCTTCCAAAGTTACCGTTTCTGCAGGAATGGTAGATCCTGCAAAGGTTGAAGTTGAGCATGTCAAGAAAAAGGTAGATTCTGCAAAGGTTGATTTGCCTTCTACCACACAATCTCCCGGCTCTTTTCCAGGTATTTATCTCTAGACCGCAACCTGTTTTGTGCTTTGTGATCTTCCTGTTTCTTAATGTGTTTGCTGTATTTCGCCAGGTAGTGCCAACTTCTTTGAGCTCCTCGACCGGGCGCAGGAAGGTACAAGGTTGAAAACTCAGCTTTCAGCCGACGTGAAGTATGTCGATCCATCCCCCAGTGACTCTTCTTCCTCCTCTGGGAGTTCAGAGGATGGTGGTGATGATGATGATGCAGAAGCTGCTGGCGAGGAGGGCACCCAGCAAGATATGTCGCGGCAAAAAAAGATGATGGCGTGATACCCGCTCATGCCGCGGCTAATGCGGGATCCACCCCTTCACCTGATGTGGTTATTGAGGATGCCACAGATGAAGGTGATGATGATGAAGATAAAGAAACATTTCAGCAGCTTCAGCGCCGCCTGCACTCGGATACCTCGGGTCCCTGTGGTGCCACCCCGGCTGATGGGTAGAACAAGCGCTCAGTGGCTAGGGGCAGCGGCCCGCCACATGATTCTGCAAGTGGGCGGAAGAAGCACAGGTTCCAGTTCTCTGTCAGGGATGATCAGGGTTTCGTTTCTGAAAATGTCGGGGCAATGGAGCTGCTGGAAAAACTCTGTTTGCCCTGCGACGTCGGGTTTATGGAGGAAATGGACACCCAGTGTGTTGCCACGGAGCTCACCTCCAGTGCGCTCAAGGTACACTTTCCTCTTCTCTCGCCATTATCCTTTTGTTGTGTTCTTTCTTTCACTCTTTTAACCCTGTTCTCCCGTTGTTACAGGCCGCCACTCTGGGTTATGAACTGACCCTTAGAGTAGAAGTCGCTGAGCTTCAAGCGAAGAGGACTGCGATGAAGCAATCAGATCTCCTTGAAGGCCGGCGCTCGGCTGAGCAGCCTCTGGAGGCCTCACAAAGGCAAATGAATGAGTTCCAAGAGAGGGCTCAAGATGCCGAGATCCGACTCAAAGACTGTCAGGCCCAATTTGCGGCTCCCAGTTTACGGCTCTTAGGAAGTCTGCTGATGAAGCTGTCCTGGCCCTGAGTGAGGCAGAGGCCCATTCCCAAAGCTCCAAATAGAGGGCTCAGGCCGCCAAGGACAAGGCTGCCACTGCCACTAAGAAGGCCCGTATTAGCATGGCGGAGTGGCAGAGGATGACAAATGTCTCTTGTGACACCGTCCCCAAGCATGTTTACTTTTAGTAAATTATGAAATAAACCTTGAAGGATGAGTTATGAATTTACGTAATTGTTAAATTTTATTATTTCTTTTACGTGAATAGTAAATTGCATGTGGGGCCCACAGAGGAAACGGGGACCGCCCGATAATTCCCGAACCACATATTATATTCATCTTGGTCTAGATGATATCTATATGGAGGTGGATATTTTAATTGGGCAATGGGAAGGGCATGGAGTTGACCGGTGGGTCAAACGAGGCCCAATTACCGGTATTGGTAATTTAGCGGATAACAGCCCGAAATGAGTTTCGGAGACTCCTAAATTAATGTTGGGGAATGTACATCTAATCTAAAGGCCCATATATAGTGGAAACATGTGATATATTTTATTTGGCCCGATAAAATAAAATATAATCAAAACGGTCCGAGAAATAAAACTTTCGGGGCCGATTACACACACCGGAGCATAATGGGATGACCTCCCACATGAGTGGGGGACACCCCACGTTTTTATGTATGGAAAAGGACAAGGAAGTGAGGCTGGGGGCGGACTTTTAATGAGAGGGTGGCTGGAGACAAAACCACACCCCTCATTACATTATTTTTTTTGACATATACTCCCTTTGATTGAGGAGGACCCCCCTTGTCCTCTTGCAATCCATATGACCAACCACTGAGAGAGAGAGCTCTAGGAAAACTTCTCACAGAGCTGAAGCTAGGAGAGAGCAAGAAAGGAAGAAACCCAACACAAAAGGGCTAGAAATCAAGGTAAGAACTCAAATAGTTCTTTTAAC